TAAAGACATTGTTTTTTTTGGCGGATCAAGCTAGTCAGCCTGATATAAATAATATGAATAACTCATGCATTATTGTTATAGTTCTTGCAATATATTCTAGTATCCCCCAAATAGCCATCCAATATTATATAAGTGTTCATGATCGTCGGATTTGACAAGAGCTCCCATTGAAAGTATGGTACGAGACACCCCCCCCCCCCACCTAATGATTTTACGTGGGTCAAGTGTCTGAAGAAAAAAACCTGTCTACATTTCAGGATTGAATTGCTGATGAAACACCCCCGCTGCAAACATTCCTGGATTCGCCCGTGATTCCTATTATGATTTGGGGTTGGTATAAAATTATGACTCTATTGGATAAAAATATACTATTTCAAGTGGTAACTTTAAATGAAATCTGAAGCAATTGGGATAACGTCAAGTGGCAGCGCTAGATCGGGGGGGGGGGGGATTTACCCCCCCCCCCGATTTTCTTCCTCGCCCCCCCCCCGTTTTTCACCAACAAAATAAAACAAAAGAGAAAAAAGAAGAAAAAAATAAGGCAGAAGAAATGGGAAAAAAAGAAAACAAGGGACTCGATGTCAACATTTTGTATAGGCCTATTTCCCCCAAGAAAATAAAAAAGAAAAAAGAAAAAATTTACGCAAAAGAAGAGACTCGATGTTAATGTTTTGTAAATATGGAAACCCTCGGAAATGGCCTCCAAACGCGACTATTATGTACATAAATACGAACAAAGGCCTATGTGAATGGCTTTGAACAGCGCCCCCAAGCGTCAAATGATGTCCATCCCCCTCCCAAATATTGCCCCCCCTTTATCTTTGCCCCTCAAGCCCCTCCCCCCCCCAAAAAAAAATAGAAAAAATAATAAATTGTTGACTCTGGCGCCACCACTGATGGAGTCACTAAGCGCAAAGAAACGGTCATGAGTGACTACACAATCATTCAGCAGTTTAGTTTTCATTTTGATGCTGAAATTTCACTTCAGTGACAAATTACAACTTCTTTAACCCCAGCTGGTCCTAATTTCATAGCCCGAGTCCATCATTTGCAGCTATCCAAAAAAGTAACTGGCGTAATTATTGTTGAAAAACATACTTGGTTGAAAGATAGTAAGGGGACTAAACTCCCTGTGAAATTATTCTTTCTGGCAAGCTCTCATTTTGAAGAAATCAACGAAAGAAGGCATTTCCAACGGTGCGTCTTAAGAAGCATCTTAGGAAAATTTAAATTAGTAGTTCGTTTTGTTATTCGGCGCAGCGTGCACAAGCATTGGAACGACGCACAGGCGCGCGCGGTTGCTATAGACCGCTTGCAGATGCGTTCGATAATCGACGCGCGAAGGCGCGCGACGCCATGTTGTGGGACAGGCGTATATCTATCCATGCACATTTTGTCCCATAACATGGCGTCGTGCACCTTCGCGCGTCAATTATCGATCGCGTCTGCAAGTGGTCTATAATTCGTCGGATCAGTGCGCGACATCGCGTAAAGCTTCAATTCAAAACAATTCGAAACATGATTTAGCAACTTTTGATTTGAAATTGAGATCCTAGAATGCTGTTTTTCTCGGAATATAAAGCTGAAGCTGAGCTGAAACTTCATCAAGTAAGTTGTTCAGTATCATTCATTAGATTTTGAACACTTTTCTTGCTTCAAACGAACAAAATGCACTAATTACAAATGATGGACTATAGCTTTAACAGCCGATTTTGTGCTTACCGAGCGTCCTTCTATTTCATAGAGTCCATAAGCAATAAGCACAGCAAAAGCACGCTTATCAGAGAAAAAAGTTGCGTAAAGTGACGTACAATAAAAATCTCCATGCGCGCGCAACGTTAGCGTCTCCGCGTCATGACATAATGCTTAAAGCTATAGTCCATAATTTGCAGCCATCCGAAAAAGTAACTGGCGTATTATTGTTGAAAAACATACTTGGTTGAAAGATGTAGTAAGTGGACTAAACTCCCTGTGAAATTAATCCTTCTGGCAAGCTATCATTTTGAAGTAATCAACGAAAGAAGGCCTTTCCAACGGTGCGTCTTAAGACGCACCGTAGGAAAATTTAAATTAGTAGTTTGTTTTGTTATTCGGCGCAGCGCGCGCAAGCATTGGCACGACGCACAGGCGCGCGCGGTTGCTTTAATTCGTCGGATCTCTGCGCGACATCGCGTATAGCAGCAATTCAAAACAATTCAAAACATGATTCAGTAACTTTTGATTTGAAATTGAGATCACAGAATGCTGTTTTTCTCGGAATATACAGCTGAAGCTGAGCTGAAACTTCAGTTGTTCAGTATCCTTCATTAGATTTTGAACACTTTTGTTGCTTCAAACGAACAAAATGCACAAATTACAAATGATGGACTTTATCTTTAAGCATCAGCATGATTTCTGCTAACAGTGAAGCAGTGCTATGAAATTGGGCCCAGCTGCAGCAGGTCTTAAAACTTACTCGATTAAAACTAGAATTTGTAACTATAATATGCTTGTTGGCTACAATGTTATCAACTTCCAGTGGCGTAGCACGGTCATTTTTATTGGGGAGGGGGGGGGGTGGTAAAATTTATTTGAAAAGGGCACTTGCACATCCATACTAAAATGTAGACACGTTTTTTCCCCGGACATTATTTTGGCCTCCGTAAAATCAAATACTAAGGGGGGGGGGGGCTGTTCAAACCGACGATTATGCACACTAACGGACAAAATATGGTGCTTTTAACGGCGATACATGCGCAAAATTAACAAAAAAGGCACCCGCAACGGCCGATGGCACCATAGGCCACCACTTCATTTTAAAAAGGGCACTTGTTTAGAAAAAAGGGCACTCTTTTCAAAATAATGGGGGGGGGGGGGGGGAAGCGCTGGTGAAAATAGGGCATTGGAATAGAAAAGGGCAGTCTTCACAAAACATTGGGGGGGGGGGGGGTAAATACCCCCTTACCCCTCCGCTGGCTACGCCTATGACTTCCCAATGAGTGTTGTTACATGCAAATTGTTGATTCAAGCATTGAAGCATGACACGTGTTACACATTCCTAAAGTCTATACAGAAGTAGTGTCCACATCATCAGTCCTAGTTACAATAAGCAAACTTTAAATTTAATCAGCATAATTTAAGTCCATCATTTGTAAAGACAACGTAAATCAAATACAAGACGATATTTTTGACGGTTGGCCATGGTACAAAATAAAAAAAGCGATTATACAATTAAATCAGGCCCTATTACATCTACGTTGTATATTTCTTTAAAGCATTAATAAATTATGATGCCATTGAAAACAACAGATGTGGGATATAACAACAGCTGGAAATTCATGGTAAACATCTTTGACACATCATCCAAACTCGTCCCCAGTGCTTAATTTATTTCCAACCTCGTTTCCAATAGTAAGCCCTGGATAGGAAACCTCTTCCTGTATCCTGATTCGATACCGCAATTGGCTAGTAAAGGAGTAATATCGTGTAGTTGGTGTTATTTCCAACGTGCATATACGTGTTTTCACGATCATTGTCATTATAACGTCCACGCAATCTCAAAACTACTCCTTTCCTTTCAAATTAATTTGAAATGTGATACTGCATATTGGCGGGATAAGATTATAACATTTTAACTTCGAAAACAATCGAGTTTTCGTAAGTCACGGCGCGACGAATTGATTCTGTTTGTACCCCAGACACCGCATACAATAACAAACGCTGATGTAACGCACTGAGAGGCACCCGACTATTTTTTCATTTGCACAAGTGCCAAGTGTGCACATGCAACTAATCCAATACCAGGATGAGAGAGCAGGTAGTGGTGGGCGCGTACTGCTCAACACCCTGGGGACGAGGTTGCACATCATCAGTTCTGATATATTTTTCGATGCAGACATTGGATTTATTAAGGCCATTAAAACATAAACTTCTTTCCAATGTTGGCATGGCATAATTGTGCCGAAAGCCCATGCATGTAATATTGTATAGTGATTCACAAGCTGGATCACATATATTATTAATTCATCTCTCGAACAATGCATTGTGCCCGATCAATGGAAACGAGGTATCGTTATCCCGGTACCCAAAACAAATCCCCCTACACTGGATAAACTCCACCCAATCTCTCTCACAGACCATTTCGCGAAGGTGACTGAAGGCTTCACAGCCAAATGGATCTTCAGTGATATCCAGCCCAAACTGGACCCAAACCAATTTGGGAATCGAAAATTCCTGTCAACTACCCACTGCTTAATTAACATTTTACACCAAGTGTACGCTATAGCTGAAATTCCAAAAGCTTCGTCTACAATTGTTGTGACAGACTTTACGAAAGCATTCGACCGTATCGACCACACCGTACTATAGCAATTGCTAAGTTGTTGGACCTCGGTGTTCGTCCGTCGCTCATCCCATTGGTCGCAGACTTCCTCACATCACGTCAACAAAGAGTACGGTACAAAACCTCCGAGTCTGATTGGTCCACTCTTCACTCTGGTGTACCGCAGGGCACACGTCTAGGGCCAATTATCTTTCTGGTAATGATCAACGATAATGTCCCCACCGAATGGTATAAACGCCCACAAATATGTCGACGACATGACTCTTGTCGAATGCCGAACTCAAAACCAATTATCGCGCATGCAGTCAGCTGTCTCCTCTTTGGTAGAGTGGTCGAGGGACAATAACATGAAATTAAACCCAATGAAATGTACAGCAATGGAAATAACATTCCAGCGAAACCCCCAAACACCACCTTCGCTCATGCTGCATGATCATCAATTAGAAACAGTGCAATCAATTAAACTTCTTGGCATACTTGTTCAGAGCAATTTGAAATGGGACGCACATATTACCGACCTCATTAAACGTGCAGGTAGAAAACTTTACATGCTCCGTCTTCTTAAAGGCCACTGTTTGCCTGTCCAGGATCTACTTATTATCTACAACAGCTACATCAGACCGCTTCTTGAATATGGAGCCCCAGTATGGGAGGGGGATTAACCACTGCCCAGTCTGACCAGATCGAAAGCATCCAAAAAAGAGCTCTACGAATAATCACCGGACGCGGTGGTTATAACAGTTATTCCGAGATGCTATGTGAACTCGGGATTTCCCCCTTGAAACAAAGAAGAGAATCTCTATGTACATCATTCATCGAAATAACATTGAAACAAACTGATCAATTTTAGGATTTTATCCCTTCTCCTCCAAAACGTACACTAAGAAATTCGAATAAAGTCCCAGAACTCAAGTGTAAAACAAATAGAATGCAGAATAGTGCCATTCCTCATCTGGTACATCTGTATAACTCTAATCCCAAATGAAATGAATTGATTTTTACCAGCAAGCTTTTATTGTATTTTACAAGTTTTAACGTTATTTTAATACTACCTTTCATTTAAATAAGATAATTTGACTGCCACACATCTTGCACAATTTTTAAACTCATTCCCCATCTGGCTCATTTGTATAATTCTAATCCTAAATGAAACTATAAATAATTTTTAACTGCAACCTTTTTAAATGTCTTTTATACGTTTTAACGCAATTTAAATGCTGCCTTTTCAAAGTAAGATAATTGACTACAATACAATCTGTACAATAATATGTATTTCTTTAAATAGACAATTTTCCTTAGTCAGATTTGTATGCACAATGTTTAAACCTTTTCTAATATAAGTATTTAATGTCATATTTTTTATTATATACAAACATGGTAGGCCTTTTACCTTTTAAAAATGAGTTCCATAGTATATTAATTTTGAATGACAATCCAGCAGCTGTGGGCCTAATTGGTTTTTTTTGAGAAACACTGCCTTCGGAAAGCAATGATGGATACCAGTACCATCATAATTATTCTAAATGACACTGAAGCTTATTTGCTTCGCGAAGTCCAATTTAGCAGAAAATTATCCTAAACAAAACGTCATCACTATCAAGCGGCACGTGACCTAATGCCCACACCTTTGTGAATACATGTACATGTATCTCCTTATACGATGCTCAGCAATAGCATGTAGGTGTTGTTATGAATAAGTTAGTAGAAATTGTCTGCCTATATACCTTGGTAAATGTATCCCACATAAAATGTTTGACCTGGATTATCGGTCAAATTCGTCAAAAATGGGTTAAAGGAAACTTTAAGAAAAATACTCGAACACATGTATTTTACCAAGGCTGCATGTGTGTCATTTAAGCTGGCATAGGTAGGCCTACACGAGGCATTAGCCAGGTTCATGGATACTCGACTTTTCTTGCAATCGTACACAGTTCAGTCCGGGAGTCAGTAATAGATCATATGACCTCCTACCCGGTCGTGATATTCACAAGCCACATGTTTGAACTTTTGAATTTTCCAATCTTGGCTTCATGTCCACGGATACTGGCGGCGTGCATCACTACAGCTGAGTAGTTGGCCGTTTTAGCTAACAGGGAATAAAACTTTGGACCACTTGGGAAAAGGTTAATGTCCAACGGTTGGACATGCACATGTACCGGGTCGTCGGACCGTAAGAGGGAATTCATGACACCTTGATCTGCTCGGATCTTCCCAGCTTTTTCGTTGTTTTCCATGGTTTGTATCCACGCCTTGACAAATCGAATTGTCACGGCAGTCGGCTTGTAGTACACAAACCCTGCACAAAAATTGGCATTTTCGGCGCGAGTTGGATAGGGTGATTTCGAGTCCATCATCGACATATCGAAGTCTCCTCGGAAGTATGGGAAAGGATCTCGGAACCAAAATGTATCTGAATCAGTGAAAAGAACATCCAGCCCTTGTTCCAATAAGGCGAGAATATACGCTTGACGCTTGTTGAAAAACCGAAAGTACGCGCGAGTATATCTTCGTATCAGTTGACTTTCTGTTTCTCCCGAATTAGTCATTATGACATGCACCCCAGGGTCGTCCCAAACTCTCTCTTTCAGATATTGATGGCATTTCTGGTCCTCTGCTATGACTGTGGTATTCACGCACAGGCCTGCTCTTTTGATACTCTCAATCATGTTCAACGTCATGTCCAAAAAGGCAAAGTTCGTTGTTGTTAACAGCACGACTCCTGACCTCTTTCTGATATCAGCCAGGGAACAGTTAGACAGACGTCCACGGGTGACTCTCTCCGTGATTGCTATCTTGGCTGTCACTCGTCCCTGGACAGGGATCTCCGTGCGATCAGTTGCCTCTTGTTCATCGTGGATCTCTCTGGAAATATTCTCGTTACCGTATGACACTGTGTTGATCGCAGTGTTAGCGTGGGTGGCACCGCACTCCTTGCCAACCGCACTCCACTTGCCGATATGGTACACGGCAAGTGGTTTAAGAACAACAGTATATGGTATAGAATTAACTGCGAAAGAGGAAAACAAATCATCGTATCTAATAAGGTCATTTGCATTAATACTCAAAAAGTAACTTACGAATTATTATCCAACAGCTTAAACTACTTGGATTAAAGATGTTACTGGTACTAAAATACAGCTACAACTTCTATAGACAGGTTAGGTTTTGAACAGTCTTCTTCGGAACAGTCTTTTGAACAGTCTTCTTCCGTGGAACCGACTATGCCTTTAACGCACACAATTATTGACACGTGTGAATTTCGCGCCCTTGATGTACCGAGTGTCTGACTGGTCGAGCGGTGACAACAAGATAGTGAGAAGGTTCGTTATAAAGGGCCGTAAGTCCGAAGTTTCAATAGTTCGAAGGTTCACTTAGTCCGAAGGTTTATTTTCTGAAGGTTCGATTGTCCGATGGGCCCATGCATTATAGTCCGAAAAAAGAATGAAGCTAAATAATCCAATTGCTCGATAGTCCGAATAGATGATAAGGATCGATAGTCCGAATTGACAATAAGGTTCGTTAGTCCGAAATGACAGCATAACAATTATTGTCCATTCGGACCATCGAACCTTTGCGTGCCTTCGGAATAATGAACTTCTGACTATTGGACCTTGTTTTCGCTTCGGACTATTGAACCTTCGGACTAATTAACCTTATTCTAAATTCGGACTAACGAACCTTCGGATAAATGAACCTTCGGATTATCAAACCTTCGGATAAATGAACCTTCGGATTGTCAAACCTTCGGACTTACGAACCTTCGGACCATTGCATCATAATGTTTGAGTTAAAGAACCGTATTTCATTTTCGGACTAGGAAATTTGTGCGTTCGAACTACCGAACCTTCGGATCAATAAACCTTCGGATTATCGAACCTTCGGACTATCAGGCGGACCCCGACCGAGCGATCGACCGAGCGACTGACCAACGGACCAAACGACAGACAGACCTACCGACCGACCGAGCGACCGAGCGACTGATTCACTGACTGAGTCACTGATGTATAAAATGTCCTGAACGTAGAATTTCAGGTCCGGCCTATTTATTTTAACGTGACGGACACTTCCCCATTCAACAATGGCATGGGAGGACGGTTTCACAAAGAACAGTCTGCTGAATTTTTTCAACCTAGGTCGATGATGGTCAACAGCGGTATCTGCTCATCCTACGTTCAGCCTATAAAATACCGAGCAGCATGGTTAACACCAAACACGCTCATTTGCCTGTATGGTCGACTGCTTGGTGGTCCAAGGCACATCAACCAGTGAATGTATTTACGACGTGAACATTAAAACTCAGAGTTCTCCTAGACTTACTTATGATCAATGAGACCAGGACCAGTAATATGAGGAAGAGTAGAACTTTGTAAGCTGGATGCACAGACATCTTTTCGATCATCGAACTCCACCAAACACAACAAACACTTCAGTCAACTGCTTTTGCTTCCACTGCTCGTGACAGGAAAGGCCGTGGGAATTTAGGTGAGCTTTGTATTGATTTCTGCGAACCACAGGTGTGAGCTCGACATGCAATACCTCCCATCTGGCTCCTGATGACTTTAAGAGGCGTCGTTAAAAAATAACAATTCTAATATTGATTTTTATAAGCGAATCAATATACACCGACAGTTTGCCTTAGCCTTCCATCACTGGTTAACTGTATTGCTTCGATTTTATTTAAATGATGTCAAAAATAGAATAATTATAATTCACAGAATAATTATGATAAACATCAGTCTTACCATACGTTGCAAGTATCTTTATATCACACTGTCATATGGGACTTTTGTGCATGGAGGTTACAGAGGCTTAACCCAATATTAAATATACGTTCCTATGGGCGTCGCCGGGGGGGGGGGGGGCTGAAAAAAAAAAGCAAAAAAGATGACGAGATGCGAAGTCATATTGCTGTTAATGCACATTCAACAACATGGACGTTCGCTGGGGAGTCAATGGGGTGGGGTGGGCAAATGTCCCCCGCCCACCCTCGGAAAAAAATGATAAAATGAGAATAATTATATCAGAAAAAGAACAAGGATTATGAGAGTTTTGCCCCCTCTAAAAAAAAACCCTGGCGACGCCCATGTGCTTTCCCATCTGTTTTTTTTTCAATCGCTATTTCCCTAGAAATATAAAAGTGATTCACTTTTGAAAGACACATGGAATGAAAAATTAAACAGATGTTTAGTTATTGATTTATTTCTTACCAAAATTCGAATAATTCGGCTCTCGCAGGACGGGTTCATCTATGTGCATAACAAAAAGCCCCTTTTAAGAGGGTTGCAGATGTCCAAAATCTATAAAGGTTTTTTTCTTCTTCAAAGAAACCACATATAATAGGGTGATTGTGACTTATCATCAAAAAACAATGAACAAATAATTTTTGTTTAGCATGTTCTGTTCGCGAGATATGGCTTTATGGTTCAAAAATTCAAAAAATCATTAAAAAATCACACGATGACGTCATCATTACCTTGAAACAATGGCATCGAAAGGACTAGATGTGTGCGACATCGGCTCACCGCTTTTGCTGTCCAAGATTGAACCTAGGATGCAAGAAATCGTCCTAAAACTTAAGAGTTCGCCGTCTGTCCCTGTACAAACACTCCAGAGGAATGATTTTGCCATTGAGGAACATTACTGCTCAGAAGTTGGAAAAGTGATATTCGAGTCTGCGAAGAAGTGCTGTGATGGGATCCAGCAAGATGGCGAAGAGGCAGTGACTCCCCAACACAAAAGCCATGCGTGGAGCAAAAATCGAAGACCTTGCTCCCAATGCCACACATCTGTCCGCAAAGTACGATGTCTCTGGAATAATTCTTCATGTTGAGACCAACAACATATCCGACGACCTATGCAGAGACTATTGCTGCAAAGGTCACTTCCCTCGGCGAATCACTAAAACCTAGAGCAGTGACAATCTCTTCGATTATACACCGCAGAAACCAGTCAGCGCCTCAACGCAACAAGGTAGATGATTCCAATAATCTGCTGAAATCCATTTTACGAAAGCCCGAACTGAAAATCTGGTAGCAGCGTGCCAGAACACTAAATTTATCACAACAAAGCTGTAATAAATTTGGTACATTATGCCAAGTTAACAAAAAGGGCATCCGGGCACTGTTCGCCCTCCATTTAAAAAGAGGTTTATCCTTCTCTTACACTGACTTGGCTGCAACATTAGGAACACTAACTACTCATTGAATTACTTAGATAATGGTGTAACAATGTGCTTTGTCTAATGTATGTTTATATTATTTACAATGTGGCAGAGGGTGTCAGCAAGTTCCTGGCGCTATAACCAGGGTGCTCCGGTCCAGGTAGGTGGAACTCGTTAGACGGTTGGCAGTCTACCATTCTTAAATCGGAGCGGGAGTTCCGAAAGCAGTCCGACTTTGTCTTCAACTTCGCTCTGGAAGCTGCTGCGATGACACTGGTGCCAAGCCGTATCGGCATTTTGCCTTCCCTTGGACTACATCGGTGCCGTTGAGAGGGGGACCTTCTTCCGTACGGCTGGTATCCCATATACCCTTGCCAAGGCTTGCGCCCTAGGGATGACTATCCAGCTTCGCATCTCTGGGTTGACATAACACGGGAAACAACATTGTACCGTTATAAACAATTGACGTAAAGTGTATCGCCATACAGGGGTGTTTCTGACGGTGGGAGATATGTCAGATATCCCCAGCCAGTAAGGCGCTTTCCCGTCACGGTCCGCTTGCCCCATTGGGTGCGTGGGGCTTAGGGTAAACCCCCGACGGGTGGATCGACAGCTCTGCGCCAGGCAGTAAAATACGGAAACACCCAGTTCTCAAGCTTGGCAACTGGAACCGGAGGACGCTGATACTTGGTTTCTCAGAAGATGTGCAAGAAGCAAGCGACGCTCGCAAGACCGCAGTGATCAACACCAAACTGCACAGGTTGCAAAAGGAGATCGTCAACCTACAGGAAACAAGACTGTCTTTGTAAGAGCGACTGTTCCTCCTTGAGGATTTCAATGTCAGAGTTGGTACGGATTGCAGCAGCTGGCTATCCTGTCGGGCCAGTTCGGAGTCGGGATGATGACTGAGAATGGGCAGTGCCTACTTGAGGTCTATACTGCCATCATGATCTATTCACTTCTAACACCTTCTTCGACAACAATCCTCAGCACTGTCAGTGTCGTGGAGACACCCGAGACCAAGCACTGGCACCAACTCGAACTTACCCTCACGAGACGCAGCAGCCTAGGCAGTGTCAAACTTACCGCAGCTATCAGTGTGCAGACTGCGACACTGACCATTCCCTTGTATGCTGGAAGGCGAAGATTCAGCCTAGGAGGCTTCACTTTTTTCAAGAAGTAAGGGAGGTCACTCATCGACACAAGTAAGACCAGCGACCATGAGAGGATGGACGAGTTCGTCCATCCTCTCATGAAAGATGTCCATCCTCTTTGAAAGATGCTTTGCCTGGCCCACCACGTACAAACATTAGTGAGAGATGGGAACATCTAAGGGATATCATACAATGCTGCCATGTCTGCATTTGGCAAGAAGCAATTTAAATAGGCAGACTGGTTCGAGGCTCCCTCCGAGGGGATGTTACCCGGCCTCATAGAGGAGAAAAAACTTCTTCACTACGAAACCTGACAAAAGAGAAACTACAAAAACCGGTGCCGAAAAGCCACCTCCGACTGAACCAGTCCATAATGAAGGGTGATGGTGAAAGCCCAACCCGGGAAGCCATTAACCTGATGGGAGGGAGGAAGACTATAGGTACAACACAAAAGATACAAGCCCATTGAACATCAACGAAGCCAAGCTTAAGATTGGGAATTGGAATGTTCAAGGGCTTAGTTCACCAGGAAAGATCGACATCCTGATAGATGAGTGTGAGCAATATCAGTTGGACATGGTTGCATTAACTGACCTACACTGGCCTGGCCAATGAAGAACCAGACACAAGAACTGGGAAATAATTCATTCTGGACCTGACAGCAACAGAAGGGAAAAGACAGTAGGCATCATGTTATCCCAGAGAGCTGTACAATTCCTGTTGTCACGAGTGTGTGTCAGACCGGCTGATGGTCGCAAGGTTCAATTGTAAACACGCCAAGATGACCATTGTGATATGCTACGCCCCCCCCATCAATAGTGAAATTCGGCCTGATGATGTTGCGAACAAGAATGCTTTCTATGATCAACTAGATGACTTGTTGTCCAGCATCCCGAAACTAGACATATTGTAACCGGGGACATGAATACTCAGGTGGGAGATGACACAAACACTTGGAAACCAGCACTTGGAATGCATGCTGAAGGAGCAATGAATGACAATGGTATTAGACGCCTGCCTCTTTGCCTAGCACAGAATCTTGTTGTTGGCTCATCACTCTTTCCTCATAAGAAGATTCATAGGATGACTTGTTGTATAGGATATGGAACTCTCCAGACGGGAAAACAGACGGGATACGGAACTCTTCAGACGGGAAAACAGTAAACCAGATAGATCCCACCCAAGTTAACAGAAAGTGGCGAAATTCACTGAAAGATGCCCGTGTGTACTGGGGAGCAGATGTCGGAGGCGGTCATAACCTCGCAATCACAACTGCTCAGCTATCCCTAGCAGAAACAGAAGAAGCAGCTGCGATACAACATAGCAGACCTGTTGAACAGAGACGTACTGGCAAGCTTTGATACCACCGTCGGCGGAAAATTCCAAGCCCTTGCAGAACTAGACGAATCGTCTGATGTGAATGAAAACTCTAGACCAACTTTACCGAAAATCTTGGTCGCAAGGGGAAGCGAGATGAGTGGATCTCAACTACATCGAGACATATCATGGGTAAGAGGAAGTTTAGCTTCTTAACCAGCCCTCGGCAGTGAGCATCATGAACTCAATAGGCAAACAAAAGCAAGTCTAAGGATGCCAAGAAAAAACCATGGCACAACAAGATTGCTGATGAACTTGAATCTGTAGCCAGCCGTAACAACACGAGAAAGGTGTACCAGACCCTGATAGGAGAATCATCAAAGAGTGCCACACAGATCAGAGATGCAAATAATGTCATCATCAAGGATGAAGAATCTATAGACTCCGAAGATGGGCCGAGTACTTTGAGCGTTACTAAATGCAGATGAGCCTGATGAAAGCATTGATTTCTCTGCACATTTCCAGAAGAGTTAGACATCAACATGAAGACACCCACTAGGGAAGAGCTTGATAAAGCCAACAGCCTCCTGAAACGGAACAGAGCCCCAGGTGTGGATAACATCACCTCTGAGATACTCAAGGATGGAGGTGACGCTGTGAGAGAATGGCTTCTTTGCATGTGGAAACGGCACCTGCAATGGTTCGGACATTTACAACGTATGAACATGGAACGGATCCCCAGAAAGCTGTATTACTGGAAACCAACTCATGGAAAACGCAGACCTGGTCGACCAAAGACATCATGGAGAGAGGTCATCCAGAGAGACATCACCAGAATGGACTTTGGGTGGTCTGTAGAGGAAGCAGAGGTGTCAGCAAAGGACCGTACCATTTGGAGGCATCTCTCTAGTTAGGCAGCAGGTGCAGCAATGCACGATGCTGTTCAATAATAATAATTAATAATAATAATAATAGAGGAGAAGAGAAAGGCCCTGGCAGCGTTCAAACTTTCAGCTAGTTAAAAGAACATACAGGCACTCGGAACGGCTCGGAACAAAGTCCAGCAGACAACTAGGCGCTGTGCCAATGACTAGTAGCTCCAGCTTTGCCGTAACATCCAGATCTCTGTTGAAACTGACATTGCAAAAGGCATGAGGGAATCACGGAATCAAGCAAGCCATCGGACCAACGCAGAAAAAGAGCCCTCTATTGTACTCAAGGGCGGATCCAGGGGGAGGGGGGCAAAGGGGGCCATGGCCCCCCCCCAAAAAAAAAACGAAACCAATTTTTTATATTTTTTATGTGACATCGCAATAAAGGCAGGCAATGAATACACCACCATCTTTTCCTCAAAAAAACATTAGTTAAGGTGGTCAGAAATTGCCTCAGATCGCACCACAGAGCATCTAGAATCCAAAAATTTTTCGGGGCCCTTAAGCGGGCCCCGAACCCCACGCCGTAATTTTTTGACCCACTTTTTGGGGGGACCAAATTTTTTTGGGCCCCCCAAAAAATTGTGTTCTGGATCCGCCCTTGATTGTACTAAGTAGATGGAATGCTGGGTAGAGCTGCAGTACTCGGGGTTATTATGTCGGAGAGCATGTCGCCACCTAAGCCGCTTTAATATCATCGAGTGTCTGCCCATTCTATAGAAGAACCTGATAACGAACTAATCCTGGAAGAACTCAGCGAAGCACTGGATGCCCTTGCCACTGGAAAATCTCCGGGAAAAGACGGCATTCCTTATGAAGTCTTCCGGCTGCGCACAAGATTCGATGGGAACCTTAAGCTCGCTATAGGCTCAGAGCAAAGTCCAAGGTGCAAACGAGATGTCTCAGGGACCTCCTGTTCGCAGATGATGCGGCCGTTACTACTCACTCAGAGGAAGACTTACAACAGCTCATTAATCGCTTGACGGATTCCTGTAAGAACTTTGGGCTTACCGTCAGCCTGAAATAGACAAAGGTAATAGGCTAGGGCGTCCAACATCCACCATCCATCCGCATCACAGACTATGAGCTGGAAACCGTCCACGAATATGTGTACTTTGGCTCAACAACTCCTACCTCGAGACTGAGATCCATAGGCGCATCGTGAAAGCCGTATAACTACACTCTCAAGGTAAACACACAGAGATTTCTTGAGGCCAGATTTCTGTCCACTGTTGGCATGTCACATAATATTTTCCAATTACTTACAACACTTGTATCATTCAAATACCATGGAAAGCTACTTTAATTCGTTCCAGAACGTCGTTGGGCTCCATTGTTAATTTCGATTTCGAGTTAACACCAATAGATTTCATATTTTGGGAAGTGTAATTTGCAAGTGTAGCACTCTGATTGGTCCAGGTTTCAAGAAATTCGTCTCAATGTGGAATTTGGCGTTAAAGGGAAAAAGCAGATTCTTGTTTTATCATTCACTTTCGCGCTACGGTCATTCATATTCAGTTCGTGCATTCATGTATACCTTATACATTTGAAGTGAGGAGTTAGAGGGCAATGTTTTTTTTTAAATTTTTTTTTTATAGTTGGACAGACATGAGTAAAACTTTCGTGCATTGGTTGTTAGTAAATGTAATCAACAAAGAACTGCCTTTCAGATACCTGAAATGCATAAGGTTGTTTGAAGTGCAAAAATGAATCATACGTTCCGCCTGATATCTGCACACAGATTTAGAGGCGCAACAATAATATGTATATTCATAATGTTAGATTAGAAAAAGAATAACAGGAGTGAGCATTACAACTCAGTCTTTAAAAATTTTCCAAAAGATTAAAACACAACTTATCTGACAGTAACGTATCAGCTTGGTACTGACATTATGGAAGGACTGAAGCATTTTTTAACTACACCGTGATTCACAAACAGACGTCCTATAGCGGATAACAAAGAGACGTCAGCTGGTTGAGTTTCATAATTACATATTTTTGGATGACATTCGATCAGAAATGTGTGCCTTACTAATTTTTAAATGTAGCAACACAGACTTCAGTAAGCAATGTTGGATACTTGCATGATTATCCGTACATGTATTTTATCAAGGATGTGTGACATTTAAGCTAACATAATTATTATTACTTAATTAATTACTATTATTAATAGTGTACATTAGGAAGCTTTAGCTAGGTTCACGGATACTTGACTTTTCTTGCAATCGTACGCAGTTCAGTCTGTGCAAATCAGGGAGTCAGTAGTAGATCATAATGACCTCCTTCCTACCCGGTCGTGATATTCACAAGCCACATGTTTGAACTTTTGAATTTTTCAATCTTGGCTTCATGTCCACGGATACTGGCGGCGTGCATCACTATAGCTGAGTAGTTGGCCTGTTTAGCCAACAGGGAATAAAACTTTGGACCACTTGGGAAAAGGTTAATGTCTAACGGTTGGACATGCACATGTACCGGGTCGTCGGACCGTAAGAGGGAATTCATGACACCTTGATCTGCTCGGATCTTCCCAGCTTTTTCGTTGTTTTCCATGGTTTGAATCCACGCCTTGACGAATCGAATCGTCACGGCAGTCGACTTGTAGTACGCAAACCCTGCACAAAAATTGGCATTTTCGGCGCGAGTTGGATAGGGTGATTTCGAGTCCATCATCGACATATCGAAGTCTCCTCGGAAGTATGGGAAAGGATCTCGGAACCAAAATGTATCTGAATCAGTGAAAAGAACATCCAGCCCTTGTTCTAATAAGGCGAGAATATACGCTTGACGCTTGTTGAAAAACCGAAAGAACTCGCGAGTATATCTTCGTATCAGTTGACTTTTTGTTTCTCCCGAGCTAGTCATAATGACATGCACCGCAGGGTCGTCCCGAACTCTCTCTTTCAGATATTGATGGCATTTCTGGTCCTCTGCTATGACTGTGGTATTCACGCACAGGCCTGCTCTTTTGATACTCTCAATCATGTTCAACGTCATGTCCAAAAAGGCAAAGTTCGTTGTTGTTAACAGCACGACTCCTGACCTCTTTCTGATATCAGCGAGGGAACAGTTAGACAGACGTCCACGGGTGACTCTCTCCGTGATTGCGATTTTGGCTGTCACTCGTCCCTGGACAGGGATCTCCGTGCGATCAGTTGCCTCTTGTTCATCGTGGATCTCTCTGGAAATATTCTCGTTACCGTATGACACTGTGTTGATCCCAGTGTTAGCGTGGGTGGCACCGCACTCCTTGCCAACCGCACTCCACTTGCCGACATGGTACACGGCAAGTGGTTTGAGAACAACAGTGTATGGTATAGAATTAACTGCGAAAGAGGAAAACAAATCATACCTTATAAGGCCATTCGCATTACTCAAAAAAGTAACGTACCGAACTATTATCAAAAACTTAGCCTACTTTAAAGATCTTACTGGTACTAAAACACGTCGTCAAATTATTCCGTCTGGCTCGCTGTCATTAATAGAAAAAAATCAAGAAAATGTAGGTGATTTCCAACGAACAGTCAATGGACTGATCGTGGAAACAAAGAGTCTTATTAACGAAATCGTGTTATTGCGTGAGGTTGTTCAATGTTTTGTCGACAAGTGTAATATGCACTGATGAGCTGAAAGTTCAACAGGTTAGGTTTTAAACATTCTGCTTTGGACTTTGATGAGTGGTGTTATTATTGGAAACCAACACAATGCATGAAAAGCAAGTGCTCCTACAAATACATGTACATGTACATGTATAACTATAATGCACACCATTGAAACTGCGAATTCGCGCCGTTGATCGAGTTACTGTCTGACCGGACCCCGACCGACCGACCGACTGAGTCACCGATGTATAAAATGTCCTTAATGGAGAATTTCGGTGCCAGTCTTAAATTTTAACGTGACGGACACCTCCCCATTCAAGTCATCAAATGGCCTTGGAGGACGGTTTCACATAGAACACTCCACCTTATAGCCTAAGTTGATGATGGTTAACACCGTTATCTGCTCATGCGCCCATTGCCTCGCCGACTGCTTGGTGGTCCAAGGCACATCAACCAGCAGTGAATGTATTTACGCCGTGAACATTAAGACTTAGTTATTCTACTAGACTTACATATAATCAATGAGACGAGGACCACTGATATAAGGAGAAGTAGAACTTTGTAAGCTGGATGCACAGACATCTTTTCTGATCATCGAACTCCACCAAACACAACAAACACTTCAGTCAACTGCTTTTGCTTCCACTGCTCGTGACAGGAAAGGCAGTGGGCATTTAGGTGAGCTTTGTATTGATTTTTGCGAACCATATAATTATATGTGTACTCAAAGAAACTGGAATGCTGTCCATCTGGCTCGTGGTGACGCAATTTAGAGCGTTGTGATAGTTTAACAGTACAAATATTGATTATCACAAGTGAATAATAAGCTGAAGCTTTGTCTTAGCTTTCCACATCGTTGATTATGTTTCATTTAAATGATGGCAAAATAGAACTGGCAATTATGATTAACATCAGTCTTAGCATGTGCTGCAAGCATTTTCATATCACACTGTCATATCGAAATTTGAAAGAGGTGAAGGGCATAACCCGATATAAAAGATAGAATAATCACAGGGTAATCGCTATTTCGCACTAAAGATGTAGTGTCCGAACTATTTTTTCCCGAGTTACACCATTTTTTCCTCTTGCAGTAACAAATTTAATCCTTTTTTTCACGCGACATATACGGACGCATAGAAGTACGGACGCGTAGAAGGGCCACAAGCATTAAAAATTATCTTAATTTGTATCTCCTTTTTTATTCTCTTGCCTCGGCGAGTTACTGTTCACGCTAGCAGTCGAGCAGATTGAACGTTATGGACAAGAAACCAAACTTTTTGTTTTGGCTTTCTGCTATTATATCCAAAGTTATCACAATGGATTGCTTCAAAAATGAAACATTTTAATTTCATTTTGCAATATCATTTGCTTAACTTCACATTTGTGACAATTAATGTTTATCAAATCTGCATATGCCACGTGTTGGAAACACGGCCGCATCGATGTCCGTTTTCTAGAATACTCAAATCATCCGGAAAATGTGAAGGACATAGTTTAAGCGCAACATTTCAAACCGTATTAAGCTTAGACAGGTTTTATGAATTATACCGTCAACTATAAACTCGGTATACAGTGCTGTATAACAAAATTACTGTGAACGTTTTCATAAATATCTAGCTCATCACTCAGATTGTACATTTCACATGCATAGCTGATATTTGTTTTCATACACTATCAAACCTTTGGAGGAAATACGTTAAGTATACAGTGCTTTTAACATTAAAAACGTAGTTTTCAATACTGATCGAATATTTCAGTTGTAATTCGAAACTAAATTATATGTCGACGGGAAACATGACATTGACATAATTTAAAAAATGCCTTACATGTAGCTTGTTCAATTGCTGATGATAAGGGGTTTCCATGGTCTAGATCGATATATAAGACACATTTAGGTAAAATACACTTACGCCTAATGGTAAAGTAGAATGACAAACCTCATACTGGAGTAATGGGCTGACAAAGGATATTCTCTTTCTTTCAAAAAAACTTTTATGTGGCAACATTTCCCCAATTTTTTGAATAATGCAAAGGGTACTCATGATGAAGTGCTAATCATTATACGCCTATGACGGGCAAAACCAATACTAAATCACCCTCATGGCATAAAAGTCAGATAACAAGCAAATAAAAAGTATATGTTGGATGATATCTTTCTATACCTTACACTGTTCCAACATCTTTTTGAAAAAAATGTCGAAGAAATGTAGGAAAACTTTAAAGTCTGCATCTTCAATCTCTGTCAAGAAGTGCATTTGAACACTGGTAGTTCCATGGCTGATGTTATCCTTGAGCTCTAGATGGAACTTCAAGACAGAGGAAGAAGAGGCAATGTCTCCTAGTAGCTTCTCAGCAATGATAAGATCTGTGACCCGACTCTCCAAGAGAAAATTGTCACTGACTGATCGGGATTCAGTTTGCGTGTCACATGATCTGTCTTTGATTTGAGAAGCATTGCTAGAGTCACCCGTTGAGATGTGTGTGAATTTTTGACAAGGTCCAGTCCTCTCCGACTGCTTTTCACCAAGGTTACAAATATTGTCCGAAGATGCAGACTCTGGATTGTCCTTAGGGAATGAGCTGGGGTTCTCTGAACTGTTCATGTTGTCACCCTGATCTAAACAAGGCTGTTTTGTGATATGAAGGTTGGTTGTGGTTTGGGTACCTCCTCGTGATTTGTCTTTTAACCGCAGTTGGCGTCTGGCTTTGCGTCTGCCAAGCCAAACATGGTGGTAAGCTGTGCACTCTAACGTCTCTGTTGCTGAGCCCCATGTGGAATTACTATGGGTTGATGTTGGACCCTCCTGGTTTGAATCGCCTGAACACTGTTTGACTAAGCCGATGGGTGAATGTCTGGGATCCTGACAATCTTCCACTCGACAGCGTTTGGTAGGAGGTGGCTTACAGTCATAATCCCTCGTGTTAGCTGTGGCGTCTGTAGGCGAGTCTGTGCAATCTGGGCCAGAAGGCCTTGATTCCAGTAACTGACTATTTGTGGAGCAATCTGGATCATTCTGCTGTTGCTCACAGGTCACTTTGGTTGTGTCTGCCTTTTTCTGATTGTCCATCAATCGACAACACTCAAAACGTAAGACTTCAGAGAGTACTTGGTATGCCAGCCTTCTCACAGCCACACACCAGGCTGATCTCAAGTCATCAGGATCTGGGTGCTCAGCTATGAACCTCTCTGAGAGGTGGGAAGCCTTCAGGTTGATTTCAACCACAGCATTATCAGTCTTGGATGCTTTGCTACTCACTGAGGGGCGAGTCTTGGCAGATGAGTAGTGTGTGGAGTCGAACAAGGTCAGCAGACCCCAAAATGTACCCAGTGAGCTTCCGCTCTGCTTCTGTGCCAACTCAGTCTGACAGAGCTGGGCAGCAATGCCACACTCTGACGACAGTCTGCTCGCAGTTTTCTCATTTACATTTAGCGCAACATTATGCCACAATTCAAATGGGTCCTGGATGTTGACTGCTCCAGACTTGAAGGTTCTCCCAGAGTTGTTGCTACCTTCTTGTAGAACCTCCGAAAGGGAGGTCGTCTTTCCCAACAGAGGGCAGATGACACTGGTGGTAAAATCAAATTTGCCATAAAATCTGAAGAATCCAGCAAGGAGGTCATCTGAGAAAGGACAAATTATAGTATTCGAGAGATCAGTTGAATTCTGGAGGTTGTGAAATGGAACAAAATTACAATCCAATAAGGCAGCATCGGAAATTATGTCAAAATGTTGGAACTACCAGTAGATAAACAGTACAACTTTATTGGAATAATTACCTACAAGGAGAAATTTTTGTCAGGAATTCAGATCTGAAAACTATATACTTAACATAGTTACCTTGACTCTGTGTGCTGTCTGTTGCTGATACAATCTTGTCAGTGGAGAATACACTATCCCAACCATCTGCAAGATATTCAGATGGAAGTAAACTTGAACAATAAAAATGAAAAGCAAAAGAAAAACAAGGACTCCATTCTGTGCACGTCAGAAGAGAATGGACAAAACCATGAACATTTCATAAATGAATCAAAATTTCATCCCTTGAAGCAAACAGTAAAATTTCAAAAAATTCTTGTATTAAAATGAAACTTGTGTGTCATACTTCTGCTGTGAGGCCACACTCAACCTCGTTCTTCATACATGAAGACACTGCAGGTTGGTGCATATTTTAGTCGACAATTAATTGTATAATCTGTACCATACATGAGTCAACCAGTGGTGTGTGAACCAGTGTGCACGTGATGAGCTGTGTCCTAGAGCTTTATTAGATTACTAGACAGATAACTTGCTGTGTGCAATGTAGTCTTCAAGGCGCATCCATGTTTGAGCACAAACCCCTTCAGAAAGCTCAACACTCTGTACAGCTATTGAACAGCTATTTGCATATCTGCGTTTATATTTGAAATTGATGTGTAAATGGAGCCAAAAAATTGAAATGCACAATCGGTAATTAAGCGTTTCATTTCTCTCTGCACAAACACGGCACTCCTGCAAATATGCACTGATTGTTTTCAATAAAAAACCCCGCCTATGCAGCCACGTTCGTCATGCTCTCACACTGCATTTAGAACTCACTCGTGCAATATGTTCTATGATCACGTACATTCATTCAAAATGTGTGTGCCCATGCCAGGCCTTGTCCAAAAGAATTCTACTCGAACTTCGAAATAATAAGAAGACAGCAATCTAGTAATTTAATATAGTTCTATGGTCCTTCCTTGGTTCCCATGTGTAGGCCACACTGTAGTCTGAACACAGACCCAAAATGGGGGACCATGGCAGGCCACTAAGTCTGAAACTAGCCAGATATTTAAATCAGGTTGACCCCTATGTCATAGAACGTGCGGACCATTAGGGTGCTGCCTTATTAAAGTGTGATGTAAGAGTGTGCAGGAGAAGTGAGCCAATCAAACTAAAGGGGAGGTGTCACAGCCAAGACGGATAGCAACCAATAAGATGTCGCAAGCACAAGGCTGTTGCCTGTCCCAACATGTGTGAAGACGTCAAATCTTCCGTTTAGTAGTAGCACCTCCATTGACGCCCCTATAATTCCTGTACAAATATGATCTACATTTGTGTATTTTGTGAAAATGTTTTTTAAACATTTGTTTTTATTCCTTGAAACGATCATCAAAGGTCTCTAGGGCTGTCCATTTCCGAATAATTTAGTATTTCATTATTTTTCAAACTGCACTTGACCGAATATTCAAAACTTTGCAGATCAAGTTTTAAACACGCCAGGTGAAGCTGCCTTCATCGCTGGTCAAAAGTTGCATACAAAGCATGCCGGGTAAAAATGGCATGCGGTGATGGATATTATGAATGCTGGAGTGTTTTGCAATTGCAGTAACTAGTATACAAATATTGAATGCTTCGAGTGGTGTAGTAAAACTAGCCTCCCGAGGTGATCCGTGGACCATTCTATTTTCCCGAGGCGAAGCCGAGGGAAAATAGAATGGTCCATGGATCACCGAGGGAGGCTAGTTTTACTTCACCACAAGATAAAGCATTCAATATTTGTTTTCTAACACTTCACCCACAGATTCTGCTTGATTTTAATATTTTACATTATTTAAATCTGAACACAGTTGAAATAAACTTCAATTTCAGTACAAAATTGGTGGAAAATGTATTTCTCTCTTAAAAACTAACCCTTCACGAAATGTTTGAACCCAAGTCTGCTGCGCGCTCTCTTTGGAATAATACGCGCTACGCACAACGCGCACACCAGCATGCATTTGCACACAAATACCGCGCCGTGGAAATAGTACTTTGGTTGCTAATGGTATAGTACTTTGGTTGCTATGCGCATAGTACTTTTGGCCGTGCACAGAAAGATAGCAAAATTAGAAAGTAACATGTGACTCGCTCTCGGCCAATCAAGACACAGAATCTGTGGGTGAGGTGTTATTATAAGTACTGTACAACTGTCCAGGGACTTTACCCAGCTAAAAGCATGGGACCAATAAATACATGTACGTATCAACAAGAAAGTTGCTGTTTACAAAAAGTATCATCTGACAATAAAAATGGAACTTTATGATTAAAATGATTCCATAGTCAAGTGTGCATGTGCATAGTTTTCTCACTCGAATATTCAAACTGGCAAAAGATATTCAAATGATGATTGAATATTTCGGTACATTCAGGACAGCCCTAAAGGTCTGATCTTTACTCCATAGTTGTTAAAGGAAATCCCTAAGTTCAACATGACCGTTTTTTTTTGGCCAAATTTATGAACATGACAAAGGTCAAAATGGTTTATCTCAAACGATATTTTCGCTGTAGCACAGTCGGGTGCCTGGCTCAAAGATTGGACCATAACATTGTTCATAACTAGGAACTCGATGTGCTCAGCCAGGCTGATGACCATGTCAACCATTGAGTAATAATCGCTCTGTAGCTATATGTGTATATTGGGTACAGTCCCTCCAGTTAGTACGAAATCCGCGGGACCCGCAAACAATGTTTGTTATATCCGAATTGTTCACTTTTGTGTAAGCCCTATGAACGTGCACAATGTCCACGTGCGTAATCAAAGCGAAATAGAACAACGTGTCAGGTGTTTAGAACAATCAAACAAAATAATTATTTAAAAAGGATTATTATAGACAGCATTACATTGGGTTTGCTCATCCGCGATGTATCCACGCTTCTGTCCACGAAGGCAATGAGATACGTCCCACCGTTGGTGCCCCCCCCCGATCAGCTTTCATCATTCTCAAAGAGTATTTGAACAAAACAGTTGCTTCGAACAACACATCTTGAATAGACGCTTGAAACAAGGTAGGCGTTGTAAACTGTGGATTGGGTGTGTCAAAGTACTGGACCGTTCAATAAGAATGCATTGGGGAGTCAAAAGAGAAAAAATCCTGTACATGTATTAACAAAAAATTACATTTCCATAGTTCTTAAAGATTCAAAATACTTAACACTTGACAAAACTTACCATGTGTCTGGTCTAGCTCTGCAACACTTGGAATGACAGGCTCATCCTTGGCTTGGAGATAAAACAGAACCATGAGTGTCAGAGCGTAGTTTGTCAGACGTGGTCCTGCACCGGTGTTGCCAGCAAGTTGGCGCAACTTAGCCCACTGACGTATGGTGAACACTAGAGGGCGCACTTGTGTCTCCAGCTGGCTGTAGAATTTGAGGAGCTTGCTGTTTTGTAGAGCTAGCCTGTTGGCATGGAAACAAGATAATTAGATGGTGGAACTTAATTACTTTCAATGAGTGCTGATATAAAACGATATTGAAAGGCACGGACTATGTGACAATGTGTTCAGTTTTATGCACGCACATATGTATACTGCCTGGAAAAAAACAGCCAAAAATGCATATTCTCGTGTAGGGCTGTCCCTCGAAACAACGTTTGACCAATTATTCGGATATTCAAAACTGCTAACTGCAAATGCGTGCTGCGCCATTAAACAGTTTCACGAAGAGCGCCCCAGTTATGGGGTACAATAGTGTTTTGCAGTAAGCATTTTATAACTGTAAAGGGCTTTAACCTCCTAAAAGGTTGTAAAACGATGAACCCCTGTTGACAAAAATAATGTTACCATCGACAAACAAGTGGCACCTGACAATAAAGCGCCGCAACTTTACGGTAAAAATAACATCACAGTCGTGTGTGTATGTGCCTCATTTCCTTCGAATATTCAAACTGGCAAAAACCTATTCAAATAGTTGGTTGATAATTGAATATTTGAATATTTGGTATATTCGGGACAGCCCTAGAAACTCGTTCATAAGTTTAACACATATTAACTTTGAATTCTTCAGATTTAAGACACTTTTGCAAGATGCCATTTTGAAATAGTGCAATGGACAGCAAGCACCAAAACATTGGGTGAGAGTGCACAAAGACTCCAGAGCACTCCAGAATTGGATGTCGAGTATTAAGTCTGGCTTCTAATATCATTTTATATAGCAACAATGTATTTAGTCTGGGGAATTCAAATTTGAATTTCAAAGTGTAGGAACAAAATATTTCAAAATGTCCATTTTCAATATGAGATTGAAATAAGAAATTTGGTAGAGTGGGATTTGAACTTTCCACCTCTGGAAAACTGTACCATTGCTCTACCAACGGAGCATATCAGCCACTTGTTGGGGATCTCCACATTGCCACAATGTCAAATCAAATACGACTATAATCAATTTCTTTTGGATTAAAAGTTAAAGTAACCTCGTCAGATCCCCTGAACAGTTATTGAGATAATTGCGCATTGAAATTTTAAGAACAGTGCGCTAAGGTGGAAGTAAATTGAAAAAAAGTCCCAAAAAAATGCCAGATGAAAAAGATTCACAGGTTTACACAAAAATATCTCATTTTTAAAATTCTTAAAGGAAATGGACATCTGCAAAATATCAATGAAAATAATACTCATTTTTTTTGGGCTCTTTCAGATCATTTGAATCCTTTGAACATATTGATTTATCCATCAACGCCCGCTCTCATACCCCTCTTCGCCTCGTTGTCATCTACCGACCCCAAAGACTAGCCGATGGCCGTTTGACAGGTCCAACATTTTCCCCTGAATTTTCCACCCTCATCGAATCTGTTGTATCTGAGCCAGGGTACATTTTGGTTTCTGGAGACTTCAATTTTCACGTTGACGACGAATCTAACCGTGAAGCTGCAATCTTTCGTGACCTCATCGACTCGTTTAATATCGAGCAGCATGTCGCTGGCCCAACACACCGCGATGGTCACACACTAGATCTTCTCTTAACGCGCTCAACAGATGACGCGATTTCCCAGGTTGACACTACTCATTACCTGCCTTCAGATCATGCTGCTGTAAAATGCTTGCTAAACATTAATAGACCTGACCCTGTCAAAAGAGAAATCAAGCTTCGTGAACTTCGCAAGATTGATTTTGAGGCCTTTCGTCTAGACATTCTTGCCTCACCACTAACTACTGCACCAGCCAACGACCTAGACTCGCTCATTCATCAATATGACACAACTTTGAGTGATCTTCTGAACAAACACGCCCCCCTGATCTCCCGTACCATTTTATCTCGACCTCATGCACCATGGTACAGTGAAAACATTCGCAAAGCAAAGAGAAAACTTCGAAAGTGCGAACGTCAGTGGAAATCCTCCAAACTAGAGTTCCACAAACAACTTCTCAACGAACAGAGCTACCACTATAATCAACTGATAATCAAGGCCAAATCTGAATATCACAGGACACAACTAAAGGACTGTGACTCCCGTCAACTGTTTCGCAAAGTTGACAAATTGTGCACTCCAAAATCTCCAAAAACCCTTCCGTCGGCTAATTTGTCATCTGAACCACTTGTTGATCGATTTTCACAGTTCTTTGCCAACAAAACACAAAACATCACTGAAGAACTTGACAACATTCCTGATCCCGTAGTTTATAAGCCAGTGTCCGACACATGCATGACTACTCTTCACCAGTTTGAACCCCTGTCTGCAAACTCGGTGAGAAAGCTGATCACTGGTTCACCCTCTACAACATCCAGACTTGACCCGATTCCTACGTGGATTCTGAAGAGGTGTTTGGATGAACTTGTTCCAATCATCACGAATATCACCAACCGTTCTCTTCTGGATGGACATTTTCCTGAAGCACTGAAGCGAGCCCACATCACCCCCCTTCTCAAGAAACCTAACCTGGACACTGAACCTCTCAAGAACTACAGGCCCATCGCAAATCTGTCGTTTCTCTCAAAGACAATCGAACGTGCTGCTGCGGCCCAACTCCAAGATTACCTTTCAGACAATAATCTCCTTGGCAACATGCAGTCCGCATATAGGAAACATCATAGCGTTGAGACTGCCCTTCTCCGTGTCCAGAACGACCTACTTTTAGCTGCTGACAAGGGACAGGAAGCTGTTCTTGTTCTCCTTGATTATTCGTCTGCATTCGATACTATAGATCACAACATCATGCTTCAGCGTCTAACGAACAGATATGGCATATCCGGTCATGTAATCCATTGGTTCGGATCCTACCTCAAGAATCGCACTCAGAGTGTTGTCATCCAGGATGATCTTTCTGATCCACGTGTGCCAAATTGTGGTGTCCCACAGGGATCTGTGCTTGGTCCTCTGTGTTTTACTTTATACACATCACCCCTTGAAGACATCATTCAGGCTCATGGCATTGACAGAATGATATACGCTGACGACACGCAGGTCTACGTCATCATGAACGAGCGAGATCGCTCATCAGTCCTCGCAAAACTTGAACTTTGCCTTAACGACATCAAGGCATGGTCCGCCACTAATAAATTGAAATTGAATGAAGAAAAGACAGAGGTGATCCACATTACGTCTCGTTTCAGAAACCATTCCAGCCTTAGATCAATTTCCCTTGGCTGTTTTTCAATAGAACCTGTACAGAAAGTGCGTGATCTAGGTGTCACTGTTCAGACCAATCTCCAGATGGACATCCATGTAAATAACATCTGCAAATCATCATACCTGGCATTACACAAGATTGGACAAATTCGCAAATTTCTCGACAAACCTACCACAGAAAAGCTAGTTCACGCTTTTATCACATGCCGCCTTGATTTCTGCAACAGCCTTCTTCTTGGCCTACCTGACTCAACAATCTCCAAGTTACAACGAGTTCAGAACTCGGCAGCCAGATTGGTCACCCGAACCAAAAGTAGTGACCATATTTCACCAATCTTCCGCGACCTACACTGGCTTCCGGTTAGGCAACGGATTGTGTACAAAGTACTTCTGATTACGTATAACTGCATCCACGGCCATGCGCCAACATATCTACAGGATCTGATTAACAAATATGAACCTCCACGAAAACTCCGCTCCCACTCAAAATCCCTACTCACCTGTTCATCGTCATCTACAAGGACATACGGCCAGCGTGCTTTTTCTACATCGTCGCCCACTCTTTGGAACAAACTCCCCCAAAGCATCAAAGACGCACAAAGTCTGGACCAATTCAAATGCCTCCTCAAAACCCATTTGTTCAATTCTGATTAATTTTTGTCCTATTTTTAATTTGTACAGCGCATTGGGACTCCGTGTGTAATGCGCTTAATAAGAACGGTTTTATTATTATTATTATTATTTCAACAAAACATGTTTATTTGGCCCTCACCTGTTGTTTAAGGTGATATCGCACTGCAAACAAGATTCCTTGTGGGTAAATGTGACGACTGGCAGCCTAGTGCTGGGGATAGTGTGGACCTTATGACAGCTGGGTACACAACGCTTGATGACATCACTGACCAAGGTCAATATGTCCAGTGGTGTGGCTGAAGCTATGTCCAGAATGGTGTGATCATCCGTGGAACTGGAAAGATTCTGCAAAATAGAGACATCAAAAATGATTTCTGCATCACATACATTTTGTCGTGTGCCAAAGAAAAGGACATTTGGAGCACAGCCATGTGAAAATTACTTTTTGAAATAATCAATTTGAAAGATTTTTGTGCTTCCATTTAAGTAAAAATCACAAAAGCTGATTTTTTTTACTGATGGCATTTATTAATAATTCGAATATTGATCATTTTTTTACATCAAAACATTACTTAAATGTCAATTTATGCATTCGTTTAGCTTCCCCGGTTGGACATGGGTCAGCCTCATGCTGTTCGATTAGCTCTGACGTCATTCTCGGGGCTCACCCTGGTCAGCCACCACAGACCCTGCTTGTGGAGCTGAGTCAGTGGTGGAAATACGACACACAAATGCGTTGTTCATTCCAAGAAACCGATAAATATGGCGGCTGGTCAGCGGAAATCTCAGGTGGACTTAAAAATTAACTCTATGTGAAGTCTAAAGGTAATCATTTATCGAGTTCATTGCGACTTTGAGACTATAATTCCAGCACAACTTTTTTGAGTTTTGCAATTGACTGAAAAGCAGTAAATCTCAAACTAAGACCCAATCCCAAACAGGCGTTTTTTTTAGCGGCTACGGCCACGGCTAAGGGGGTCACATGAGGATCGTGATGGCCCGTGGTTGAGCGTTTGATTAGCCCAGCTATCGTGGCTAACCTGTCTGCCTTCACCCGAGTCGATCCAGGTGAGCTACTCGAACACAGAATCAAAGATACTACAATGCACTAGCGATTACCCTAAAAACCAGAACTTGAGCCTTTGACCCATTTTTCACCCTTACGACCTTCTTCCAAGCACCTGACAAGTTAATCTGCTCCAGATTTGATGTATATTTCACAACAGAGCAATCCATTTACCGTAATTTTCGGAATATAAGCCGCGGCTTATACGTTGATTTTGCCCATGAAAATGTTTACTGCAGCTTATACACAGGGCGGCTTATACGCCGATCCTTGAAGAATAAAAATGAAATTCACATATGTATTTAATGTACTGGTATAAGAAGAGATATGTTGCTGAAATGAATTATCAATTAAGAAAGTCATTAACGAACCGAAACCACGTGCCACGTAAAGGTCGACGCTTGCAACAAGCCGTACGTGATTCTAGTGCTGCTGCATGCAGCATGCTTTCCCCAGCGGACCACACCATTTGAGGTAATATAGGGGTGTACTATCTTGGAAACAATAATTACCAACATTTCCCCTGTTTAAAAAAAGAAAAAAGACGACTAATACTTTTTATGGTGTCCGAAACATTTCTTTATTCGATAATCAGTTGTTCAACGTCACAATATAATTTTTGTACGAAAAGAAAGTTACGATCGAAACCTGCTCGTTAGTAATCACAAAAATTTGATAAGTTTTGAGATAAAAACGGACCTGTATATTTTTAGGACAAAACAAATCAGCATCTGTTGCCACAAAGCAAGATTTGTATGTAGCGCTGCAGTCAGACAACACACGCAATGAGGGAAAATCACGGTGGGTTGCATACTCTCTCATGTGCTGCAGGAAAATGTTGTCATAGGCCGGCGTGGCGCAGGCTGCCGCGCCGGGCGATGTATTAACTTTTACGGCCGGGGACCGGACGGGGCAGCCGGCAGCAATTCCCGGTGTTTATTTCTCATCATCAATTTCCACATTTGTTTGTGAGAGTATCGATTGTAAATGATTTGATACAACTTTTGTGGCCCTTTTTATAGCTTCTGTAGTGTAAATGGAACTGGTTCAGAGCATTTTGGCTAGAATTTGGAGGCTTTACAAAATTGAAACCGCTGCCGTTGGTGCGGCTTATACGCCGATGCGGCTTATATGCCGACTTCAAATCTTAATTTGCAGATTTTTGCGTGCTGCGGCTTATACGCCGCGCGGCTTATATTCCGAAAATTACGGTAGCCCCTCCCTGAGAGGTTCCTACCAATCACAGCCGTGTTTAATGCGCGACATGTGTGCACTAAAGTCTGACATGCATTTACATGCATGTGATGTGACCAGCTGGAACATGAAGTAAGGCACTGGAGCTAGGCACATTTGTTGTGTGCAGCGTGCTCTGTGGGCGGGGCTTAATGATCGGTCTGCTGATTCTTTTGTACATGTTGCTCCATCCTGGAGATAAACAAGTATTGGGCATACTCATTCCACAAAAACTGAATGGTTTTTGTCAAGCAGCAGTTAACTTATTTTGTAAATCTTGGGTGTTTTCAGTCAGTTTACAGCAAGGAGCTTGTTGGTGACCCTTCACCCTTGGAAGCTATGAAATGTGACTGTGACATCCAGGCTCTAGTCTTAGTACCTGTTTATCCACTTCAGCAGGGGTAGGCTTCTGTCCAACTTCCATTACAGTTGTGGCAGAGACCTCCAAGTGTACATCCAGATCACATCCCTGGACACCAAACCCATTGACTGAGGAACCAAAGGGGGTGATGCGACATCCTGGTAGGAACTCCTCTAAGACACTCTGTAGGAGGTCACAGATGAGACGGCGAAGTCTCTGATCAGCCTGGGATAGCTCCTTCAGCTGGACTAGGGAGGACATCTGATCAGCCACCTGTAAGGGGCAAGGACGTAGTGGACTATTGCAGATGGGTGACATAAGTGGGAGTGCTGCATTTGTAGTGCTCAATGCCAGGTATTCAAATATACCCACAATTTTAACAAATGGTACCTTATTTCCCAATCTGCCCTCCAATTTTAGTTTTAAAAGAATCAGCAATGTCACTTTAAAGTGTCCATGAGATGACTTTTTTCTTAGGAACACATTTTGAGCAACTTCATACTCCTCTTCAATGTATGAAAACCATTTTACATCCCTTTTTGGTCAATCTTATTGAGAAGTGCACTTCTTTTTAACCCCAGCTCCCTAGGGCTTTTTGCTAGGATGTCGCCTCAGTCCTGCAAAATCCTCCAATTAGCCTCATGGAAAAATAACATATAGCCTCAATCCTGCAAGTTCCTCCATTATTTCTTGAATAATGGTCCGTGGAGGGGTGACCACTGCCTGAATCCTGCAAAATCCAGCAGCAGTGACTGTCAATATGTTGAGGCTTGGCCAGTGACATCCTGGAGCAGTACGGAGGATTTCAAGTATATTCCAGGCCTATATTTATGCACGGCTGAGCAAAAACCACACAAGATCTGGCCAAAGACCTTGACAAAGTGCAGTAACGCACTTTTGCCATGTAAGTTCAATCCTCTAAATTTCTCCACTTTGGCAAAGAGGACTTTGAAGGATTCAGGGCGGTTAGGGTGACTCATCTAAAATGTTCCATGTTTTTCCCCGACAACTGAGGACGCTGTTGCTGTGATATCATTTCAGGAAAACACTGTTCAGTTTAGGGGTTTACTGTTCATATTGTGAACCCAAAACTTGGAACTACCTTTTTTCTTAATGCCAGGTACATGTAGCCATGTGCAATGCATACACTTTATTATGTTTAGTTTTGTCCAATACCTAGGTAGGCCAAGGTTAGTGCTGCTCCTTTATGTGATCTAGCTCATACCTGTACATACTTTGACAGGACTGGCATACTCTTGGCCAAATGTTTAAAAGGTACAGAGAGATATCAATTATATGTGGACTCCCATAGTTCCTGGTACATCTTTTACCACAAATCTTGGCACTTTTTTCCTGCATCATTTGACAATTTTTTGTTTGGCAGGGGAGGAGAGATGGTTAAAATGAGCAGGAATAATAAGCATGATATTGATAATGCATGTAAAAATTCAGTTGGCAAAAAATGACATTGTTCACGGAAGCAACTTTAAAATCCAGTTGGCAAAAAGTGAAATTGTTTACTGAAGCAACTTTAAAGCAATTAGCACTTGTATTTTCCATTAACCCCAACTTCCTAGGCATTTTTGCTAGGATACAGCCTCGGTCCTGCAAAATCCTCCATTTTTTCTTGAATGTGGTCCTTTTAGGGGTGACCACTGCCTCAATCCTGCAAAATCCTCCAGCAATCATTGTCAATATGTTGAGGCAGAGCCAGTGGCATCCTGGAGCAGTGTGGAAGATTTCAAGTATAATCTATATGGGCCTAAATTTATGCATAGCTGAGCATAAACAACACAAGGTCTGGCCCAAGACCTTGACACAGTGTATCCTCCAAAGTCAGCCCCAGTTTTGCCATATAGCCTAAATCCTGCATAATCCTCCATTTTGCAATGCGTAGTTTGAAGGATTTGGGAAGGTTAGGATTAACACTTGTATTACATTGTACTACACTGTATATAATCCTTGATGAACTAAAAAAAAACATAAGAGTATAAGCAGTAATTTGCAGGGACCCTTTGGGCCTTACAGAAACTAATGGGTTAAGCAGCCTATAGATTTGCTTACTGTAGCTTCTTGCTGTAGTCTCTGACACAGAGTTTCATCCAGTCCAGGCTCAGCTGGCTTGCTCTGTCCCTTCCCGTGACTTTCTCCTTTACCAGTCACTCTGTTCTTTGATGTGCCACATGTGCTAGTCTCAGGCGGGCCAGTTTTTGGCTGTCTTGGGCGGACAACAATCTTGTGGCCATTCATGAGTTGTTTCTCCACAGCTGTTGCTTTCTTGGCAGATTCTTGACTGGTGAACTCCACTATTGCATAATGAGCCTGTCGGGTTGCATTGAGTTTGGAAATGTTCTAATTATTACGTGAAAAATGCTGAACTCCAGCATGCAATTGTGCAACGTGTACTTTAATAGCATGAAATTAATCTGAAACTTAAAAATTTGAAACTTCTAAGGGCTTATCAATGCAATTAAAGAGTCATTTCATAATATACCTTGGATAAAATGCGGACAGGTTTACCAGCAATAGGCTCATTGCATTGAGTATTATGTGCAGAATTTCACACAACTTCCTGAGAATCTCCCCCGCTGAAGTTATTAGTGTACAAATAATGAATGTTTATAAGTGCAATGGTGAGAATATTTTCGTGAGTTAGAAGATTAAATGTTCCATTCGACGAGGCAAAGCTCAGTTGAATGGAACATTCCATCTTTCAACGAATGAAAATATTCTCATCATTGCACGAATATAAAACATTCATTAGGCCAAAAAAAAAAAAAGTCGGTCTCTGGTCAGCGCGCGCGTCGATTTTAATCATGCGCGTCAATCTTTTTTTTCCCCAAAATGTTCCGCGGTAGCTCCAACAGCGCCCTCTATTGCCGCACCTCCTGATTTTTTTTTTACCAAAGAGCACCAAGGAATGGGAAATTGCACCAAGGCAAATGATCGAAAGCACCAAGGCAAATTATGGAGGACACCAATGTACATGAGGACACCAAAAAAGCAAAATAGTACCCCACCTTGTCTGTACAATCCAAGCTTGAAGAAAAAAAAAAAAAAAGCCGCGTCCCCGCGTCAATTCCGGAACTTTGGTCTGACCAGAGACCGAATATTTTTTTTGGGCCTTATTTGTGTTCTATATTAAACATTCAAGAAAATCTTTGTCATTTGATCGGAAGATAAAACTTCAAGAACAAACAAAACTCACAAAATTGTATCATATCCACAATTTTTTTTCCAGCTTGTTCAAGTTCTTCAAACAATGCAAAAAAATCATCAAGGCAACTGCATCAACTTCACAGGCAAGTTTTGTACTGCTACATGTATAATGCGCAAGGAACGTATAGCGCCGGGCTGCTGCGCACGTCTTAACGTGCACTAGATCAATAGGGATGGGGCGAAAAAGGGAACGGTGAATGGAACCAAAATTAATGAATGCCACGTGACCTACAATCCTCCAATCAAATGACAAGGATTTACTTGGGTGAACATTGTTTACAAACCATTAAAGGTAGAGTAGAACATTTGCAGCTATCCAAAAAGTAGCTAACAAAGTTATTGTTGAAAAGCATACTTGGTTTAAAGATAGTAACGGCACAAAACTCCCTGTGAAATTATTCTTTCTGGTATGCTGCCATTTTGTTTTGTTGTTGTTTTTTTTACCAATGTTTCCAATTTTTCTTTTTTTGGCCAAAAATATTGAATATGATTCCCGGACAGAATTGAATCAATTCCAAAAATGCTGGATTCGCCCAAGCCTACTCGACAACTTTTGAATTAAAATCAAGATCTTAGAATATTGTTTTCTCGGAGGAAACAGCATTCACTGGGCTAAAAGTTCATCAGGTTAGTTGTTAAGCTCCGTTCTTCAGATTTTAAGCACTTTTGTTGCTTCAAACGAAATGCACAAATTACAAATGATACACTCTACCTTTAAACTTTATGGCGGGAGGATTCCTGGGATGTTGTTCAGAATTCTGCAGCTAATGCCTGATGAAATTGGCCGAGAGCAGATAAACTACTCTTGACAATTCCTTGCCAGGACAATATCACACAAACACTGTACAAATACTCGGCATAACAGACACACTCCTAAACTTAATTGAAACAATGTTTGAAAGCAGTACAGTGATATTGTCTGTTCAGGTACCTTTTCTTTGTCAATGAAAATCTGTGCCACGTCTCCAAATTTTGAGAAGTAGTCTCCTAGCTCCAGCTCCCCATTCAGTCGACTCAGTCCTCCAACAAAGACACTTTTTTGAGTTCGCTCTTGGCGGCTGATTTGGAGACTAAGCAGCCGCTGATGTTTCTTTCCTGTCAGATGATCATCAACTGCTTTCTCTGAAACAATGATAATAAATTGGTCCATTAAAAAATTGATTGAATTCACTTTCTTGTAAGGAGAGTAAAAATGGTGTTTTTCACAGTCACACAGATTCACAATCAACACTTGTCTTCTAAACTTAGCAATTGTACACATACATGTACTAATGTAACACAACAAATAATGCATTGATTTTGTGCACAATGTGCGTTTCCATTGATGAGTGTTGATATGATCAATTTAAACGAGCTCTATTCCGTGTATCTGTTTGAGTCCTTTCTACTCTATTGCTCTGAGGCAGGGACTCTACCTACAAAGCAAGAGGCTACACTCGATGGATGCTATAATCGCATGCGGAGGATGGCTCTAAACGTGAGTTGGAGAGACAAAGTCAGGAATGAGGTGCTCTATGGTAACCTGCCAAGGATCTCCACAACTATCAGAACTACATGTAGGGTATCTGCAATTGGCTGGACACTGTGTACGACATCCAGAGATAGCTGCAAGCCAACTCATCTTATGGGAACCCACACATGGAGTGGCCTCTAGAGGTGGGCAGATGTTCAGCTACGTGAACCACCTGCGTCAAACACTGGGCTAGCCTCAGCTGCTGAAATCAGGACGGCCATGTATGCCTTTGTTGCTGTCCGACAAGAGTTGTCTGGATGATGATGATGATCATTTTTGGACAGTGTTTTAAGTAAAATCAACTTCAAGCAAACAAACTTCAAATGTGACTTCCCTGATACGTGTAGTGATACAATGTACATACCTGAAGTGATTTTGATGTCACACAGCTGACATACAAAATTCCTTCCACGGACTTTGATGAACTCAGATTTCTCCATCTTACGTACTACGCATCAAAGGGATTTCCAGTAACTGCAATGAAAAACAGACTTCCTCATTAAAGAAAATGTAAAGAATTGCTAAGATTCTACAAATAATATTGAATCCACCTGGCTTTCTTTTTTATGCAGTAAAATAATAAAAAAAGAAACTTGGGTTACTATATTTGTCGTCCAATTTCACATTTTTAAATCCCGATGGGAGACAGATTTCTAAATTGCATTTTAGTTGAGCTAAAAATAAACCATCTGTTTTAGTCAATTTTAGTTTTTTTTAATCAAATTCTAAAATTAACCCTTTGTCACACTTTGTTCTTACATGGATTGCTTTGGGTTGAGAATAATACTTTTCTGTTACTAATAACAGAAAGCTTGCACACACCACCCTCACTGTGACAAGTTTGTGCACCTCTGCAATTTGCATGAGTGGACACCCAATTGTCACTGAATTTAAATGAAAAAGTTGTCCAGTATGATAGATGAACATGACTCATGCTGAAGTCAAGACAATGTTAGCACAGAACCAGACATGCCAGACAAAGTTTCGTCATGGTTTTATAAAAAAATTCAGAAAAAATGTTGCAACCTGACGCCACTTCCGCGATTGAGTACAAAGTATTAGTAGTTATTTTACCAAATATCCAAAAATTGGGGGTAAAATATTTTTCGTTTGGCTTCTAGCTCATCTCAAAGTTGGCATACGTGTTGCAAAATGTGATATCCCTATGCAGCGTACTAGTGGATTTAAGTAGGGATTTTTTGTCCCTGCAGTGTACTAGTGGATCAAAATCAGGGTTTTTTGGGTCTCTGAAACGTGTTCATGTATAAGGATTTCACATTTTTGCAACACTGATGCCAACTTTGAGTTTGACATGAGATTGAAGCCTAAAAAAATATATTAGGCCCCTATACCCCAAATATTTTGATATTTTGTAGAAAACATATTGGGGTATAATTTTCATCGAAGTTGTTTCAAGGACACGTGATCCAAAAGGTCAAATTCAAGTTCAAAGTAAACGTCATCATACTCCAAATTACTCCGACATGAAAAGTAATGGTAAATTTGGATTCCCGATGATATCTTTCCAAAGCAACCAAGATAAACACATTTGGCAAACAGGTTTTATGGAGATGTGGTCTTTTGAAAATTGGTGGCCACGCCCATTTTGACCAGAACTGCCAAACAATGGGGGCGGTAGCACGATTTCCGATGGCGCTAAAACTTAAAAGTTCAGCTTTTTCAGTCTAAATTTCCTCACATAAGGCCTACTAAATGTGAGCAAATTTGAAGGGGGTGGGGTTTAACCCACTGGATGATCAGGTGATTTGACATGGAAGGATCCAACGGTAAAAAAAGAATATTTGGATGCGAATAATACATTTGCTCATATTTTTGTCAAACTCAAAGTCAATTCAAATGATTTCAAACTTTTACAAGTATTGAAACACCCTAAAACAAATATCATGTTGAGCAATTGTTTAGAATGCATTGATTCTTCTTACATGTCTTATACATGTAGCTTGAGTAACTCCAGCTGACATGCTCATCAGGAATTCATATATGTGAATTCCTGACGTGCCTGATGAGCATGTGACGTCAGCTGGAGTTAATGTAAATTCCTGATGAGCCCGACAGCTGGAGTTACTCTAGCCCCATAAATGTGGCCAATTTAATGGACTACCAAGTGTGGCCTTTATTTACGGAGGTAGTCCAGTAAATTGGCATTTAAGGGAAGGGGCTAGAGTTAATTAGCTAGCCTATGAATTCTTATTATGGCTCAATTGCAGAATACCCCGCCACTCAATCTATCCACCTCGTAGCTGGCTACGGAGTCACGGTTGATTGCCCTCAATAAACCTTCTCAGCGCTAGGCCTACTTGCATGTACTATGCGTCATGCTCCACTGCTCTCCCACTCCATATCCGCCTAGCCGCCAACAGGGTAGTTGGTTTGGACTCGTTCTCAAATAATGGACCCCCACTCAGTATCCGCGTAGCTGGCATGAACTTGAATTGTTTCTTTTCCAGTGATTCCAACCGCGTAGCCAGAGATTTTAGGGGTGTATTTCCGAGTGGCGGGGTATTCTGCAATTACTCCCTTAATACTGTCACGCCCCAACTATCGCATCGGTCCCAACTATAGTTGGGACTGTCCCAACTATAGTGCGGCAGTTGGGTCGGCCCAACTATAGTTAGGACTGGAGTTGCGCCGGATGCTTGATAGACCTTGTTGGATTAAATGTTCCGCGGCGCTGGCACCATGTATTCGTCGTGCATGCATGCCGCAAGGCTGGCCGGTCACGTGGTACTGCCTAGTTGGATGAGTTGTCCAGCTGCTGGGTTTTATTGTCCAGCAACATTTTGCAAAATTCAAAGATTGCCATGGCCGGCCAACTATAGATGGGCCCCACCCATAGCTAATGTCAAAGGTCCCAAGTAAAGTCGGACAGTATGTAACAGAGCTGTAGGGAATGTTTTATAGTCGTACATCAATGTAAACTATAGTTGGGACTGCCAAATAAAAATATTGCGGTGGCCCAACTACAGATGGTCCCCACCCATAGATAATTTCATTGGTCCCAAGTAAAGTCAGATGTGTATTAGAGTTGTGTTTTATAATCGTACAACAATGTACACTATAGTTGGGACCGCAAAATAAAAAGATTGGAGTGGCCCAACTATAGATTCGCCCCATCAATAACTAATTTCAGTGGTCCCCAGTAAAGTCAGACGTGTATCAGAGCTGTAGGGAACGTTTTACAGTTGTACATCAATGTAAACTATAGTTGGGACACCGCAAAATAAAAAGATCGGAGTGGCCCAACTATAGATGGGCCAGCCCAACAGTGGAACTTACAGTTGGGACCGTCCCAACTATAGTTGGGACAGGCCCAACTATAGTTGGGCCAGCCCAACTGTGGAACTACAGTTGGGACAGGCCCAACTATAGTTGGGACAGGCCCAACTATAGTTGGGACCGATGCGATAGTTGGGGCGTGACAGCACCATGTAACATGCACTGTTTATACTTTTTTATAGGCCTAAAGCTACTTTCGATGTTCAAGACAAAAGTCCATACAAAATTTGTTGACGCTGGGTGACGACCGTTGGCGTTGACGCCAGTTCAGTTGACACTTGTTGACGCCAAAATAGGACCGGCCACCGGCACGTGCAGTGGCGCGGCACTGGCGCCGCTGCGAAGTACAGTCAATTTCCGCAATTTGACCGGTTCCGCAATTTCGGAAAACTAGCTCTCGTTTTAAGGAAGACGAAAACGCCAAGGACTTAAACTTTGGTACCGATGGAAAGTCTTGCGACAAGGGGTTTATGTCAAAATTACTTCCGCAAAGCTATTGCACATATCCAATGAACATAAAACGTTTCAAACGTTTGTGAAACGTTGGATTACAACGTAACTTGCTTGCATAGAGGATGACATCTTGTATCCCAGGGTGCATCATAATATTACTAGAGCATGTATTTTTGACGTGTAGTTGGGTTAATAACTATGCGCGGCCACATGCGTGGTGGCGCTGTACTACTACGATCTGCGCTAAACATCGTCCGTTCAGCGCAGCCATGTGGCTGCGTAGGGCGATTTCTAAAGGTTACGTAACGTTGGCGGGTGAACTCTTTGAAAGTTAATCCGTTGGAAGACCGTATCTTCATGCAACTTTCAGGGTTTATTTCCCTTATAATGATCCAATTATGTGCTAAAATCTTTGTGATATGTTCATTACTTTTTGTTGAAATTGGAAAAATAGGCCTGGCTACGTGTATTTTTGAAAGTTGTAATACTGGCGCTAGCAATGTGTCAATCTTTTCAAGGCTCACAAATATTAATAAGGTTCCTATCCATTATGGTGTGTTGTAAAAATGTGCATAAAAGCCTCCTTCACGAGTTATTAATTAATAAATATCACCCTTTTTGACGGCTTCCATCTGTATACCGAGCTGAGGTGACGCTAATGAATATGCTAATATACCCGTCGTTATTGTGCTGCCAGGCCGAAATTGGTCAACCGTAGTATACGGCCGCTATGAAACCATGCAAGTGGGTTGGGTCGGACAAAATCCTCGTCGAGATTTTCCTTAGAGATAGTTCGAATTGTAACACAAGCGTTAGCAACAACAGATTATGCTGAAATTCGAAATATACTTTCATGATATAGGTGTTCAAATACCCGTGAAATGACAATGTTCGTAAATTCCTAAAAATTGATATAAAAACATAGATTTGGGGACGTTTTCGAACGATTTCTTCCAGACTTGAAGGTCTGCTTTACCAGCAACCAGTATTGAGGTTTCGGCATCGATGACGGCGATTTTTTTCACATGAAAATTTAGAATTTCTTCTTCCGTTATAATTTTACAATTTTATAAGAATATTTTCTGAGAAACACAACGATGATGTTTTGGGGGGTTCACGAATTTCACTGCTCTGTTATAGCGTCTTAGTACGTCGATGAGCAGCTACATTTGAGGTTTAAAAAAAGGAAAATTATTATTAAAACTATTAAAAGGTGCGAATGACGTAGCCGTAAAAGTTACTCACAATTTGGAATGAGACATCTACCGAAAAATCGGCCCATGCCCCACAATCAATATCGATGATATACCGGACCGGGAGCCAGTCAGAGCCAGAATTTGTCTGTGGCCAAAACAAAATTCCCAGTAATGAACGAAATTTGTCAAACATACCCAATAATAATCGAGAGTTTTGCGGCCCTAGCAAGGGTTTGTGCGAGTTTCAAAGCTCAGAACCGGGCTTCGGACCTTGTTTCTGAGCAATGATTGATGAAATCGGACCCAAAACTCGTCTTATAGGGGTGACCATCTTTGGAGGGAAAATCATCCAAAAGCCGTCATGCCCCTCCCCCAAAAGATGAAGAGGGTATGTTAATTAAATGTGTGTCTTGAACACTTTGGGATTTCCGAGTATTTTTTCCCCGATAACTTGGTGTCTGTGCCAATTTGTTTTCCTCCGGCTCCTAAAACACAGCCTTTGCAGGCCATAACTTAGACCAAATCACGATTTGTATGTTCTTTTGATGTATCCGAGCATTTTGTGCATGGGCTACGAACTGGAAGTTTTTAAACTGGACGCCGTGATCAGGACTGTATTTCTGTGAAATTTGGATGAAAATTATGCTTATGGCGGCCACAGCCGTGATCCGAACGACGCTGTTGCATCCGTGTATGTATATAAGACCGCATCACCAATTGCACCGCATTCAAGTTGTCGAATCGGTGGCACAGTTAACTATACACTCATCGGTGTCTCGAATTTTCAAATTCTAAAAGGAGAAAATATGGAAGCCTGAACGATTAATAAGACAGGAAAATGGTTTCCTCAACGAAGAAACTACATTGTGTAAATAACAGGGCGTCGAATTGGAACAGAAAAATTCAAAATACATGCAGGGCCTACTTCGCCTTAAATAAATTCGGCAAGTTCATATTGCCTGCTAAGTTTTGCAAGTACTATGGTCTATCAATCCATTGTCAATGTAGAAGGTCAATTTTTTTTCCTTCGGGCCGGTTGGTTAGCTGAGACAAGGGTGCTTCATGAAACAAGGACTTTATATTATATCGTTAGAAAAAGAACGTTTGCAAGACGGGTTTAGGGCCTATATAACATGATCGATCCCCCAAACTATTTCCATCCCTGAATAAACAATTTAATTCTGTAGCTCAGAATAGCTGATTCAATGAAAATCAACTCGAAAATGATGTTTAAATAAGGATGTTTTGCTAAAAGCTTGCCAGTAATTGCCTCAGATCACACCACAGAGCGTCTAGAATCTATTTTTTTCCCGGAACCCTTAAGCGGGCCCCCAACCCCACGCCGTTTAGGCTCACTCGAATTAGTTTTCATCAGGATACATGTGTTTGTACCACCCCACCCCAATTTTGAGAAGCGATTGACGCCCTTGGTGTCAACAGGCTTTTAGAGCTAGGACCTACACCAGTTTGGCCTGGCATTATAGGGCGGAGTAGGGCCTACGGAACACTGGAAGGGCCTACCAAACGCTTCAATCCGGGCGGCCTGCCCAACAAAGCGCAGGCGTCTGAACGCTGAGGCTTCAGCTGCAGTGACGAAATGCAGTAACAACATTAAAAGAACGAGACAAAGCTAAGCCATCCATCCTTGTCGTAGGGCACTTCGTAGAGCCATATTGAATTAATTTAATGTAGTTCGAATGAGGAACACTGATATGATCTCCATAAAATGGGCGGTAACAGTCTGTACTAGACTGTAGAGGGCGCTTAAACGCACGTGCGCGTGGTGGTGACACGAACTACACGTTTTTGTGGTAACAGTTTTCTAACATGGCGGGCAGCAAGGCGGTACATTTGACTTCACTTCTTGTATTTTCTCTCTGCGTAAAGCTCAGCAACGCAGGTAAACAGCTTATTCACAAAGATTCTGTTTGAAATTGTGTTCCCTAAGAGTAAGACATCCATATTTTCTTTTCTTATTTGCGACACAATCGGTAATCCTTATCTTTAGGACACCTCAATTTTGTGTGTGTAAAAAAAGTTTTTGTTTGTTTGTTTGTTTGTTTGTAAAGTCTTGTCTATTTTTGTAATTTTATTTTCTTTGTTTCATTCTGTTTTCATGTAATTTTAATGTGAGGGCTCCTTTGGAAAGCAGTTTTTTAAAACTGAAATGGACTACCCTTGTTAGAAATTACAATAAATAAATAAAATAAAATACAATTCTGTTCAAATTAACTGACTTTTGCAGATGGCTGTCCAGTACCAACATGACCAAAGACTTTGACTTTGGCAGGCTAAAGCAGTCTTTTTTCTTCATATAAACTCATGTTAGTTGTAATTTTGAAAGCACTTTCACAGAAAATGTGACTTTCCTACTTTTTTTGCAGTCAAGTGCATGTTGTACTTGTTCTCACAACACGAGTGAAAGCCCTACATAATGAAAGCTTGATGCTGATTGGCTGCTAAAAAATAAATAAGATGTTTATTTTTTTATCAGCTAATCAGCATCATCAAGCTTTCATTGCTTCGAGCTTTCATGTTTGCCATCTTGGTTTAATTTGAGTCAGTTTTCTGGTTGTCACCGTCGTCTTTTACCCCTTAAAGGGAATATACAACATTTGCAAACATCGAAAAATAAAACTACCAAGTTTTTGCGAAATACCTTAATAGGATGTTGGTAAATGACAGTCTAAAGCATCCTGTAAAATCATGGCACCTGGTATACTGTCATTTTCAAGAAAAGTGGTATTTTTGTATCAATTTCCAACGCTGATCGGCCGATCAGCGTTGGAAACAACTGGCTTTTTTTTTCAAATACTGGCCCCAATTGGCCATTGCACTTGTTTGCAATCGATTACAAACTTATGAACGGGTACGAGCCAGCTAGACTGGTTCCCTGACCTTACAATTCCCCAATGTATGTAAACTGCTCTGTTTCTTCTTATATGGAGTCGGGGAACCAGACTACAGGAAAATGATCGTTTTTCTTGGTTTTTATAGCATTTTCGAACCCAAAACCTCCAAAAAGTCAGTGTAACTATATTTGCTTTATATATCCAACCCCCCAATTCCATCCATTTCTGAAAATTACAGCAAAAGCAAATGATGTATATTCCCTTTAATTTCCCTAGTTATAAATCAAAGCCTAGCCTTGGTCAAGGCGCTAAAGCCCAACACCTAATAAATAAATTAAATAAAGAAATACCCAAACCCAGATTAGATTAAACATATCTCATACCATGCAGCAGTCATTCATGAAGATGATCAACTTGAAACAGAACAACAGTGACTAAAATATGAAAAAAATTGGAGGATTTCGGTGGCTTTTTATATAGAACCGACATGTTGCATCGCAGCTGTGTTGTGGCAAAATTTGTAATCACAACTCGCACAAACTAGTGATAACCACAATGTGTACATGTCTCCATGCATTTTCCCATATGTTTCTGCATGCACAAATTGCCTTTTTTGGTTATCTGTGTCCTGAACAGTCAAGGAGTTTGTTCAACTTCAAGTAAAGCCTTTGGCATTGATTTCATTTCATTACTTAATAAATATAAGCTGATGTTCAATAATTGTGTTTCCTTGTTGATGCAGGTTTGCTTGCCAATGTGGAGACATTAGATTCACGGGGTCTGGAGGCTAGGACTCCCTACAGTAAATGCTTTGATGCCAAGTCAGACTGGAGATGGTTAAGACTCTGGAGCAGCTTAGATGTAAGAAGAATTTGCATTTAAAATGTTTTTGAATGCGCTGCTTTTATTATTTGTTCAACTTCATGCCCTTTTAATGCAACCCTTACCACCCCAAATTAGCCAAAATGACACTATTGTGATGCGTTCAGGACCCCAAAGCGCTGCTACTACTTCACAGGGCTTTGCACAGGGCTTCAGGCATGACATTTTTCAGATCAGACTTTTTGAATCTGAGAGAAAGATGTTATCGGTAAAGAAAGAAATGCATCTTTCAGACCTTTCATCAAATTTTCAGACTTTATTAATAATTAACAATATGTTATAATTGTTGTAAGCATGAAGAATTTTTCCAAGCTCAAATTCTGAGGGTAAGATCCTGAGAAAAGTGATCAGTGATATCTAAACTGACATTATCTTGCAGTTTGAGTCACATTTAAATATCTCGTTTTGGCCCAAGACTTGATTGAATTTTGTTTCCCTAATGCAGCCAGTCCTGACTAGGGAAGCGCAGTCAAGCTGCCATGGTGTGGGGTGCTGTGGTCCAGTGGTTACTGTGTTCGACTTGTGTGCCGTGGTACATGGGTTCGAATCCTGACGGGGAACATGGTGCTTTTGTGCTTAACTACGATTGCCTCTCTCCACCCAGGTGTAGTAAATGGGTACCTGGTAGGAAGAAATTCCTTCAATGCTTGAGTGCCGTCATGGCAGCCGTGCTGAAGCCAGGGTAATAATAGAGCGCCAGGAGCATCAATTCGTGACAGACATGAGCGCTATACAAGAAGCCATTATTATTATTATTATTATTAATGTGTCAGCGGGCACTATCAATACAATGAGTCCAATCCAGTCTCAGGAATATTGCCACTTGGACATGTTGGACCTGTGAAATATTTTAGCATACTGCACGCACACCGTATTCAAGCTAATGATCAGAATTTGAGCTAATGGAACAGACAGGTCCAGCTGCATTAGGGGAACAACATCCAATGAAACCTAGACTTGGACCGAGACTGGTAAATTTAATGTATCTCCTGAAGACGGTCAGAGCATACTGACCGGAACGTCGAGTTTATACCTCTGGTTCTTTTCAGAACCATTCTCTTAGTTGAGAAATTATTCGCACATGGTGTTTCCGCAAACCTTTCATTATTTAGTATCTCCACCATGCAAAGCCTCAAATCTTACTTATTTTGGTACAATGTACTTGGGTTGAGGTGTCCATGTAAAATGGTATAAGCTTTCTGTTTTGTTCTCACTAATGCATGTACATTTTTTTTCTTCTGAACTTACCTTAATTTCTGAAATTTTGGAATGTGATCATGTCTTGATATGTATTAATATTGAACGGCTGATGACTCGCTATTAATTTACATGTATGTGTTGCATTTTCATGAATGCATTGCTTGGTATGTTGAATTTCCTTTATGGTCATGGTTGACCGATGCATTTTTCTTTAATTGAAGAAATATAAGGTATAGTATTAATTTGGTTTTTCGCAAAACAGGTCAAAGTTAAAAACACAGGGCCCACAAAAGGCAGAATCACCATTGTTGTTGGAGCCAATGAGACAGATGTTGAGAAGCAGTTATCACAGTACAATGGCCTGCTGCCTTCGTTCCTTCCACCATGGGCGTGGTTTCAGCAGGGGAGGATGTCTCCACTCAGAAAGAACTGTATCGGTGTACAAGCAGCTGACAGGGTGCACATTCGAGTAACGGAGAGCCGTAAGTTTGGAGTAAAAGAACTTTGAAAAGTTGCAGTTGCCAGTTCACGATTCAGTTGATATCAGAATGTTTGATTATCAATATAGCGACCAACGACACATACATACGTATAAATAAAATGTATCCTGAAATTGAAACACAAAAAAAAAAATGCATTCTTTTTATGCCCTGCGGCGAAGCCGAAGGGGCATACTGTTTCCGCCTTGTCCTTCCGTGGGTGGGTGTGTGTGCGTGGGTGATCTGATACACCGTGCCCTCTGGAGACGTGCAAACAATAGGTGACGTGCAAACAATCTCCAAAGGGCAATTTCTATAGATGAATACGTCTCCACAAGATTTTCACGAAATAGATATAAGGATTTTACTCAAAAACTAGGAATTTCCAAGGTGGATTGATTGGTCGCAAATGGAAGAGTTTTAGAAAAGGGATATTAAGTCCAAATTTCAGCCAAGGAAATTAACTATGGTTAAAATAAGAGCATTTTGACATAATTGTGCGACGTTGCAAAATTTTAGTACACGAGAACAAAGGAAGTACCCCACTTCTATGCGTATGTAAGCGTGCGTGGGTGGGTGTGTGTGTCCGGACAAATCTTGTCAGCGCGATTACTTGAGAAATACTTAACATATGAACTGCAAATTTGGTTTGTGGATTGTTCTTGGCAATCCTAAGAAGTCTATTGCATTCGGGGCTGAAAGGTCAAGGTCACAGCGGCTAAAACAAAATAAATTTTGTCAGCGCGATAACTTGAGAAATACTTTACATATGAACTTCAAATTTGGTTCGTGGATTGTTCTTGGTAATCCTAAGAAGCCTATTGTATTTGGGGCTGAAATGTCGAGGGTCAAGGTCACAGTGTCTAAAACATTAGAAATCTTGTATTTACTCTGAGATCATAGGGATTAATTCATATAAAACATACAGAAAATACTAATGATGTCAATGAATGTTCCATGTGAGCCAAGTAAATGTACATGTAAGTTGATGTTAAAAGAGTGGTGTTATGTCACGTTTGGTCTTGTATGACCTCAAGTTTTAGTTGAATTAACAGAAATTCTAAACCAAACAATTGGGTATGGACAACCCAATTTTTGGGTAGTTGCAGTTTTCACCCTGGCTTGGGTAAAATTAACCCAGGCAATTTTTCAGTGTTGAAAGCCATCTGAAGAGAATAACAAAACCAATATTTTTTTTGCAGAATTACATAAAAGACAATGTAAGTATTGTTCATCTGATATGTAATAATTATGTATAATCTGCCTGAATTCTCACGCCACATCCTTGCGAATCACGTCATGTTAGACTAATGTCATCAAAAGTGTTACGGCAAGAAAATGTTCCCTCAATATGGCGGGGTCCCATCACTCAAATCACGGCCCAAACCAATGTCTCGATCAGACTATATAACCGATCGCTTTTGCATAACCCCGGCTCCTAATTAAAAACCATAAATCACCTTCGTACCAGTACCACTCTCTGTGCCCAGTCCGCGTTCGGTAATCCGATAATGCTGTATCATTTTTGACACCCAAGGGACCTGCCTGCTATCAAATTTATGTAACCTGTTGTGTAATTTCCGCTGCTGTTGTTCCATCTTGCTGTGAAATTGCACAGGCATTGGGATCGGGTCATGAAAAACAGCTTCTTGCTTTTCATAAAACTGTTTCTCCTGCATCAGTGGAGACAAATTTTTGTTGTTGGCTGGGTGGGGTAAGTCCCTGGGGTAAGTCCCTGAGGTACGATTCTCCTGTTACGAGACAGCTTGCACAAAGCGGCCACGAAAGCCCAACCCCTATAGGCCTACATTTATATCATGCTTCCACCATTTTAGTCATGTTCCCTGTATCCAATAACAGTACTGAACTAGAGATTCGCGTTTGTTGAGTTACAAATGCAGAGTGGTCGGGCGGACAGCCTTTTCATTATACACTGCCCAGAAAAGTTAGGAATACATGTATACGTACATGTATACATAGAACAAAGGATCACAAAATTAAATCCCTTCCAGTACAATCAACTATTTAGTTACAAAAATGTGTCTCAAACGGTGTAGTAAAATGCTTCTGCTTTTGAGTTATATTCGGATTTTATTGCACTTCCGGTAACACCGGAAGTGAACAAGGTCATGCGGTTTTGTGTCCGGGGACAAAAATGTTTCTCATGGCATAGTGTACAACCTCACGAAAAAACGAACACTATACTCTATTTAGTTCAAAAGATATAACGCAAACTATTTTGTCAAAATTTGCCCTTAAATTGCTTGTAATTTGATACCTGATGTTTGTAAACACACCTGACTTGTTTTCAAATGCAAAAGAGATGAATCCGGTGGAAAAGCTGAATCATCCCTTTTCTGTTCTGACAACAATATCCGCAACTTTCATAACTGGATAAAGACCTATATGTAATACTCTTCGTTTGTAACTCAACAAGCGCCTTATACCTCTAGTATAGATTTGAATTGTTATAACAAATAGCTCACGTTGTAAGTTCTTGCCAGTCACACAAGGGTGGACAGGCAGTGCCGTCATAGTGTGGACCTGTGAACAAAAGAAGTCCACACAGTGCTGGTAGTGAAGACGTTGTGTGGACTCACCCTCTGAAAAACAGTTTTAGAGGCATTTTTGGGTAAGGGTTTTGCTTTGCAAAATTATGAGGAACACTCGAGGAAGTCATGATAAAAAATGTGGGTTGAAAGAGTGTTCACAGTGCGAGTAAAATGATTTTTTTCTCCAATCTTTTGTAACCACTCGAAAACAAAGGAATGTCTACACTAGGCATGTAAGGTTAACGTGCGTATTGGGCAGATGTGCTTGCAAAAAACATATGTTTGAAAACCGTCAAAAAGCTTTGAGTTTTCTTCGGAAACAGAATACACGAAGATGGTCTATGTTCTGCTTTGGACTTCTCTTCATCATTTAATTTACAATAAACAATATTACAGGAAGTTTTTCTTACCATGTGCAGAGAGTCCCATTCTCACTTTATAATTGACTGAAAGAAATGGCCCAAATTTAATGATCAATTACAGTTGAGTCTCGTTAATACAAACTCATTCGGACCTAGCCAAATTGTTTGTTACATCAGAATTTTGTATTTAGAGGAACATCAATCCCATTCATTGTGCACATAAATGCACAGTCGGGACCAAGGCCTTATGTTTGTTATAACCAGAATTTTGTATTAACAGAGTTTGTACTAACGAGAGTCGACTGTACCTTCAATGTTTCTATGTTGATGTGTCAGTTGTAACTGTGTCAGAAGTCTATCACAATTCACAAGTCAATTACCAGTGAGATATTTGTGTGAGTTTACATTTGAATTGAGAGGAGACGACTCGTTATGGACTTCAATTGACTTGTGATGACTTGGTAACATTGTTGAATTTGGTAAACAAATAAGGTGTGCCATACTTCTGGTTTTTCATCTAGTTGTCAATTGGGTCTCTTTGCTCCTGACGGTCGTTGGTGTGAGTCTATTCCTTGCTGCTCCAAGACTTAGCAAGTAAGTCATGATACAGTATACACTTGTTGCCTGCTGGGACAGGGTCCATGCTGTTTGGACACCTAAGGGGGCAAATGGCACCCGAGTCGAAGCCAAGGGTGCCATTTGCCCTAGAGGGTGTACAAAACCCATGGACCCCATCACAGCAGGCAACAATTGTTTAGATATACCATGGTAATAGATTACAGCTGTCAAATTCTGTCACTGGTAACGTCTGAAACTGTGGGTCTCTTACTGTTGCGGTGCAGAATTGGCGAACTGTTAGCACAGAATTTTCCGTATTTTTCTTTTTGCTGAAGCTGATCTCCTCTGTGGAACAAGAGAGAAACCTCTTCTTTGGAGGCGACCTGTTGTGTCATCTGCCGACATTAATACGGTGAAATGACGGCGAAATTGACACAGTTAAAAAAAAACAGACGGGCAGTGATGAATGATTTAAACAACAATGGCGGTCGTAGCAGAAATAGTGCTTCACTGTCCCCCATGGCACATCTCACAGGAACATACATCAATTTACGTAGTACCAGCGTAGCTACAACCTTGTATTCGAGGTCACACTAACATAATACAACTCGATGGAAACGACACTTTCAACAGCGGGGATGATCAAGGTAATGTACCCTGTGGGGTACATCACTCATGTACCATGGCGTACATCACTCATGCATTTTTGTGGCATGTCACGTGATCCAGTCTCGACCACTAAAAATTCACCATCTATTACCGTGGTTTAACAATTTAATATGTTTGTACTGGTCCCCGAGGGCCAGCCTACAGTCCTCTTTGTACCCGACTGACTCACCTACTGACGCTCAGCCTTACCTTGGCCCCCCAATTTCTCATAACTGGTCCTAGTGAACTACGCTTGGGCAATTCCAAATTTTTGGGAATTGATTCCGTTTGCATACAGGTGTCACGATTCCGATCGGAATTGAATCCAATGTTATCCATCTAGGAAAGACCCCCTAATTTCACTAATGAACAAGAGTACTGACTTTACTATTGCACTAGTGAAATGTGCTATATCTTGTAAAAATGATAATTTGCAACAAATTTGTACATGAAGAGCGATTTAAATGTTTGTTTTTGGAATGTATTCTTGGGCAGAATTGAACTGTTACTACTGGTAGTTGATTCCTCAAAAAGATGGACCAGCCTACAGTCCTGTATGCACCTGTCTGACTGACTGACTCGATGACTGACTCACTGACTGACTCCCCCAATTGTGAATTAGACTTGCTTCACTCATCTTGACCAAAACAAATTGACTGACCAAATTGGCCCACGACCAGGTTTTATTACTAGACTTGCCTAGTCTTGTTTTATCTCAGGAAAGTTGTTTACTTTGTGGATATTCTGTGTGAAATCAATGGACATGTTATGTCACACAGACTTGGGGAAAGTGCTTTTAAATAAAAGTATTTAAAAACAGTGTTCACTCAGTGTGTTGCACTGTGCAAGTTGTGATATATTATTACACACAGTTCTACATATGAAAGGGACCATAATTTGAACAAAGCAAACGTTTGCGGCGGCATACATGTACGTACATCTTATTGGAAGTTACACCACCTTGGCGATGTTTGATATGTATTTGCTTCTTTCTCTCAGGAGTGTTGTGTTTCATTATTCTACCGGTGTGACTGTTGGTGTCTTAGCATCTGTCCTCATTCTGGTCTATATCCTCAGTCGTTTTATCCCAAGGGTGAGTAAGCAGAGAAATATTCTTTTTTTTTACTACTTTTAAAGGTCTGTTTTGAAAAGACTTTGAATACAAAGAAAGATCAATTTAGGTTTTGCTCTTCACCGACGTATAAACACTGTACACTCAGTGTGTTACCTCCTGAGTGAAAGTTGGAAATATCACTCTGGTGGTACTCGAACCCATGACCTCCTACTTTCTAGTGCGAATGCCAGAAGTCTTACCACTCGACCACCCAGCTTGTGGGATCGGTTGGCTGGTTCGAAGCTGATGTACATGTAGCAGTGGGTACCACAATTTAACTATTCATAAAAAGGAATTTGCATCGGGGGGAATTTAAATCAATTTAGGTATGAACACTGTATACTCGGTGTTTAAAAAAAGATTTTTGAAAAACATGTAACACTGAGTTTGGAACTTAGTTGTCTTCATAGAGCTATATTAAATTACTAGAGCGCTAACTCCTCATTCTTGCGCGCGTAGACGCTTTGAAGCCGCTCTAGGCGCAGACATTTTGAGTTTATGTGCGTGTTTCAAAATAGATGGATTGAATTTTAAAAGTAAACTCTAAATGCAACGCGCAAGTAGAAGATACGCAAACAACTTAAGCACGTCATGACGGTTCAAAAAACGAAAAGCGTCTGTAGCGGAGGGACGCGCACACGTTGCGCTGTTTACGTAGAGCAAAATGAAATGTTCATTTGTTGATCGTGCGTTTTGGTTTTGGGCATATCCCCTTCGATGACGCACCGGTATGGAATACAAATGCAGATTTGCAAATAACCGTACAAAAGCCGTACAAAATTTTTGAGTTTTATATAGGTTTGTGCACAAACATGAATGCGCCCATCAGGCATTACTTTGTACATCGAGTTAGCGCTCTAGTAATTTAATATAGCTCTATGGTTGTCTTACATGTAATTTAATGGTTTTGAAACACTATGCAATAGGATGTTCAAGCCTATATATCAGCTCAGTATCTCAAGTTGCCAACATTTGTTTTTAGCTAAGTCACAAAGTGTGAATGAACTGTGACAAAGAATTCCTGTGTTCTTGTTCATCACCTGTTCTACATCTACATCTACATCCATGAAGAATTCATCAAAACCTGTGCAGCATCTGGATGGGGGACTGGTGTGTGGTGCTTCCAACAGTGGACACGTATTGTGCAATGCTTGTGCTGTCTTTACACAGAGGGCAATTTCAATTGGTCTAAGTAAAAACATCTGCCATGGTGTGAATTGGTGTCAATGGCCCCCTCGAACTGCTCCACGGTGGGCAGTTCAATGGTTGTCTGAGGAAAGACATATCCAGTCTCTCGGTGTCCTTGGCCAGAAGCTGGGCTTGTACATTTGTACGTATATGTATCTGATGATGAGTTGAGCAGCATGAAGCGATGCTGTTGGCTGCTCCGTGTGGCAACTTCTGGTTCTTGGATTGATGTAGTCTGGTATGGGTGTCACCACTAACTATAAAACTCGACTTTTAAAGTGATGACCCCGGTCAAAAAGAAACTAAAGTACAAAGACAGAAAGAACTGACGACGAGAAACAAGGAAATAATTCACCAATTAATTAAATTCACAAACTCAAACTATTTACAATATTTACAAAGATCCGGACTCTTGGATCAAACTTCTCATAATCAATCTCAGTTAGGAGTTTTACTTTCTACTCCAACAACTTAGTCTACAAATTCAATTTCTCAAGCTCAACTAGTAAATTTCTAAAAATCACAAATCTCTAACTAAGTGTACAACGACACAATCCAAAATCAAATCCAACTGTAGAATATGGCTCAAAAATTCAGCCGTAACTCTTGTTTCAATTCAGCCTTAGCTCTTGGTTAAATTCAGCCTTAGCTCCAAAATTCAATTCAGATTTCAGTCCAATCAAATATCAATAATTGGGATCTAAAATCCAACCGTGACTATACCACAATTCAATACTTCTGTTTGGTTCTGATAAACTGGTTAAATCAAAGTAATCAACATTTCGGATAAGAATGCTCAATTCGACAATTTCAAATATCAATACTTCTGTTCACACTTAATTCCTTCAAACAGCTAAATCAACTTATATTTGTTATGATTATTCCAAAACCAAAATCACAGCTTTCTGCAAATTTAAAACTTTACAATTTTAACTGAGGCACTTTCCTTAGTAGAGGGTCTCGTCTCCGTGGCACGTTTCCAGCTGATAGAACACGGTCAATCGTCACGGGACACACTATGTACAGACTGACATCGTAGTCGTTCTGCAGTCGTTATATAGTCGTGAATACATCATGAACCCAACTCGTACTGTGAGGTTTCCGGCCATGGTTATTTCTTCATTACGAAGCTTGTGAAGGCTGAGTGTTGCTATGAGCGTGGTCTACAGGACCGGGAAGGTGGCTTTTAGCGTTGCCGAGACTATATTTTGGCACTGATTTTGCCAAACTGGCGGATCAGACAAGATCGGTGTCAGATTTCACCGATTTGCTGACAAAAAAAACCCTGCTGTATCAGGCGTCTCCTAGCAAGATGGTACCGGTCTCTGTCACACTCAGCTCAGATCTCTCAAAATGTGTTGGTGTGTCCTCTCTCGATCAGAGAATGCACTGATCAGAAAACGCACACAACTTCTACTTGACAACAACCAACATTCTTTCACACAATACTCACATTCACAGAAACAAACGGACATCAATAACCATGGCCACACGGACAATAATAATTACGTAACCCGACGCACAGCGTTTTAGCAGGTTGACCAAATCAATGCCTTAATTTTAAGTGGCTGGAAAAGAAACTACCGGGAAAATGTGCGTACACGATTGGCGAAAAACTTTTGGCGTGATCTACTTTAAAATACAGGGGTGGCATGATAGCCGTAGCGCGCGTAAAAAATACAATTACGTAACAGAAACGAAGTGAATTAAAAACGATTGTGACATTTTACCCCCTATCGTATGAGAAAATGTTTCCCATTTTCTACGAATTAATATTTACAAGGAGAACTATTTACAAGTTTCGGCTGAGGAAATCCGCTCCTACATTATCACAACCTTTGATGGCAATGATGCGCATTCGGTAGGGTTGGAGAGCAAGAGCCCATCGCATGATGCGTGCATTCGCGACTTTTGCCTTCTGCATGTAAGTTAGCGGTTGGTGATCGGTCTGGACGATAAACGGTTTGCCGTACAGGTAAGTCTGGTATTTCTGAACACCCCAGACTAAGGCCAGACATTCCTTCTCAATCGAGGAATATGCTCGCTCGCGACTTAGCAACTTTCTGCTTGCATATGCTACAGGGAACAATACATCACCATGCTCTTGTAACAAAATCGCAACTATGCCGAGATCTGACGCATCTGTACGCAAGGTGAATTCTTTTTCAAAGTCAGGCAGCATTAGTATGGGCGCAGTAGCAAGGCACTTCTTTAGCTTGTCAAACGCTAATTGCTGGCTCGCTTCCCAATTGATTTTATTGGGTTCTTTGCTTTTTGTCTTGTCGGTCAAGGGGGCTGCTATCGGACATCAATAACCATGGCCACACGGACAATAATAATTACGTAACCCGACGCACGGCGTTTTAGCAGGTTGACCAAATCAATGCCTTAATTTTAAGTGGCTGGAAAAGAAACTACCGGGAAAATGTGCGTACACGATTGGCGAAAAACTTTTGGCGTGATCTACTTTAAAATACAGGGGTGGCATGATAGCCGTAGCGCGCGTAAAAAATATAATTACGTAACAGAAACGAAGCAAATTAAAAACGATTGTGACAATGGGTATGCAGATGAGATTATTTGTAATTTTGTAGAGCACGGTCAGGCGAGCATGTTTGCGTCTTTCCAAGATCTTGCCGTGACACTTGCATCTCTCTTTTACTTTCCACAAATTAATCAGATAGCTCTTTGGATCTTTTTTAGTGTGTCTACCTGGTTTTGTTTGTGCGGATCCCACATGACAGGGATGCATACGATAGTTGAGGTCGCACTTGTGAGATCTAAGCCTGCTTTGTTATGTTGGTTGTCCATTTGCCAAGGTTCCTTCTCAGGAAGCGGAGGATCCTTCCTGCCTTTGAACCACAGGTGCTATGTGGTTTCCAGCTGAACCTCTTGAGTAATTCCACTCCCAGGTATGGTATGCTTGACTGGAAACAACACTTTACTCTTCTCCCATGGTGTACATGTAGGTGTGGGTGATCAGAGTCTTCTTTCTGAGGGTCCTCATATTATAGCATTTTTGGCACTGAATTGCATGCATTACATGTACTTGAGACCATGCAGACTGGTGAATGGGTATTTACTTGTGACAGGACTTGTGACGAGTTCACCCAAACTCTGCTGGTACCACATATCGCAAATTGCAGCAATGTCATGAGGTAGTATAGAAGTGGTAGCTTTGTGTTGTGTTGTTGGATTACAGTGCAAGTGACAAAGCATTTCAACACCACGTTCTGCTAAGTATGTTGTAGTTTTGGGACAGTACATGTAAGTGCACGCCTGCTGCAGTTCATTTTCATCTTGTGCCCAAGCTCAAAATGCTGCTACAAATGCTGCTACAAATGCTGCTACATGTACGTAAGCAGTCACAGAAGTTCTGTGCAAAATGTTCATTGTTGAGTCCTAATTGTTATTTCTTTGGGTTTTTTTTCTCCCTGTACAGAGGACAGGAGCTTTTGCTGTCCTCGCTGGGGGATGGGCATTTTGTCTGTACTTCCTCCATTGGGTTTTAGACAATTTCCTATCTATGCAATACAAGACCTACCTCATAGGCTACTTTGTGCTTGCTGCAAGCATCAGCTTTGCCGTGTGCTACTGGTACGGACCTGTCACCGGTGATCGTCCTATCTACCTCATACAGCTATTCCTCCAGCTCCTAGGACTAGTTTGCATCTACAACGGCTCACAGCATGAGGGCTCAACTGTCACAATTGTAGTCGTCTTAGTCTCCATTAGATGGCTGCCTTGTGGACGTGTAACACAGGCTGCATCTATTTTTAGGTTTGTTGTCCTTTGTTCAGTTAAAAAAATTGTCCGATGTGGTAAAAATGCAAACATGTCTTTTTCGTGTTGAAATTTGAGGTTGGTGAGTGAGTGCTGTCTAACACTTTTGCTTGAAGAAGAATGCCTCATAATTTGAATACCCTCAATACATCTGCGCAGGCCTCACAAAATTTAAAAAAATGTAGTTGCCCTTTGGGCAGGGGTTCTTAAAATCTGGTTGCCAGCATTTCATTTTCAGTTGCCCAATAAAGAACTTTTAATATTGCCCCAAACTGAAGGCCAAATCCTAATAATGTACATGGCTAGTGTTCGCAAAATTGGCCGTCTGACGTCCCGGGACAGCCAAAACATTTTGTACTCCGCTGCTGCGTTATCGCCATTTTGCAAGCGTGCGTGGCCGGCAGTGGCTGCATGCGTGTGTACGGTACCCGCGCTCTGCACCGCGCTGGTACATGGTGAACAGTGGTCCGGTCATAATATTATTGGAAACACACGTACACGCAGGATTGCATTCGCTGCCTACACACATTACGTACGCGAAACGTTACTGCATGATGTAGCCGGACTGTACGTGCAGATTGAGATTTACCGCTGTTCTGTTTTGGCTGGTACCTGTTATTGCTTAATGCGTAGATTACCAACACCAAATGGGGATAGCGCAGCAGCTGAGTCAAAATATTGATATTATCATGATTATTGTTTGACGTTGTTCACAATCACATGTATGGGATTCTGGAACTTTCCAAAATCCCATGGACTAAAATAAAGTGTAGAAATGTGTGAGTATTGGTGAAAAAAATGGGGTTGCCCGTTAGGCTGGCAACCTGGAACTTTTGGTTGTCCGACAAAATATTTTGGTTGTCCTGGGACGTCGGGCAGCCGATTTCGTGATCCCTGCTGCGCTGTCACTTTCAAAGATAAACTTGATACTTTCAAGAAGTGGGTTTGTCTTCTGGTTTTGAAGCTTCCAGAGAAGGTTTATCGTATTTACTTTTTTATTTCGACAGGTGGCGGAGTAAAGAGCAGATGAAGATTCGGTTGCTGACAGAAGATGAGTATTATGAACAAGGCAGGGTTGAGACCAGGAAGGCGTTAGATCAGCTGCGAGAGTATTGCCGAAGCCCTGACTGCAATCAGTGGAAGATGATTGCCAACCTGGAGTCACCGAAAAGGTTTGTCATCTTATCATGTGTGACAAAATGTTGGCATCGGTAGATGACAGTTTTAATATCAGGTCCTCCACTTCACAGATACATGTACGTAACACTGTAGACTCAGTGCTGTTGGAGAGCTAGTGAGAAAAAGTGTCCCAACATATTCATGTGGATATCAAACCCACCACTTCCTGGTACAAAATGAAAATGTCTTCACAACTTAGCCACCTAGCTTGCTTGCTGTATTCACTGCTGTGAATCGGTATACGCTTAAGCAAAGTAAAAAATGGCTGCTGCATCACATTAGACAAACAGGGTTTTCAACATTTTTTTGAAAAATATGAGACTACAATGTATTACCCTATCCTAGACCATTGAAATATGGTCTGTAAATCTAACATTATAAATTATTGCAATCTCAAAGCAACTCTCTGAAATTGGCCCAAGGAACACAGTCATACGCAAAAAAACAGTACAGTAGACACAAAACAGGGTCATTTTCAGGCTTCGGAGACTCTAGAGATGATGTTTTTAATGCCTGTCACATTTTATCCTCTTTCTCTACAAGCTCACATTGACATGTTCCGACTGCTTTGACTTCTTTTGACTGCTTGGACTTGCAAACCTTTGAAAATGGAACATGACTTTTTAACCTTTAACTTTGTAATCCTACCAGGCCACCACAGAGGTTGTTGGTCCTAGTAGAAAGAAGCCATATTCCCTGGTTTATCTGTGCCCTACTTGTTCCCACATCCCCCTTTTTTCCGTTGCTGTGTTGTACTTGAACTTTATCAAAATATTTATGAAATTCATCATAAAACCATGATCATTATTGATGATCATCACTGTTTCTGTGGTTCGGAATTTGGGAGTACGTCGCAGTTCAGATAATAGAACATGTGTCACTCTGCTTACTTTGCCCCTCACAAAATTGGACAAATCCAGAAATGTGTTGACAAGCAAACCACAAAGAAGCTTGTACATGCCTTCATCACATTTTGTTTGGATTTCTGCAATTGTCTCTGCCAAGGGCTACCCTAGTCTCAGATCGCCAAGTTACAACGTGTTCAAAATTCAGACTAGTTCCAATGTCACATCCTCATACTCACATGTACAATGTATCTCCCATTCTTCGTATACTTAACTGGATCTCGGTCAAGCTCAGGATAGTGTTTAAACTACTTATCCTGACCTACTAATGCCTTCATGGTCTCACCCCTGCTTATAATACCTAGTACCTCAAGGAACTGATCAACAAATACGAACCATGAAGAAATCTTGCTCCAGCTCCCAGTCTTTACTTAATTACCTGCGTCTCACCATCTACAAGATCCTACGGATATCGTTCCTTCTCTGCTGCCTCTCCTGCCCTGTGGAATAAACTACCCTCTCACATCAAAGAAGCATCAACCCTTAGAACATTCAAATCAGACCTAAAAATTCACTTGCTCTCACGAAACTCTTCGTAATTTTGCTTTTCTCTTGTACAGCGCATTGAGACTTTTGAGTAAAATGCGCTTTATTAGCATGGTGTATTGTAACGATTAAGATTATTTCTTTCATGAAATGGATGGTGAGTATATTATTGCAGCTGCTGATTAAATTTGTTTTGTGAATCCTACACCATGGTATAACTGAAACACAGTACATATTGTGAAAATTGGCTTCAACACACAACACCAAATTTGAAAAAGATATGTGCTATGCTTTTGCTCATGTTACTTTGCTATGCATTATGCATTATACAGAGTGGTCCAATTTTTTTTTTACACTTTTCAGACGCAGATTTCTCGGAATCGGGGAGACATGTTAAAATTGTTTTTAAAATATTCCTAAACTACAGCATCATTGTTGAAAACGGTGCTGAAAATAATGCCTTCATTAAGAAATGACCATGGTTTTAATGGTAAAAAACCAGTCTGTCCATGAGACAATGGTAAACAAAATACATGTACAAATTGTACCTAGTACTGTGTGCACAAAGAATTGCAATAATGTAATGAGGTCTTTTTGCAGTTCTTTGTTGCATGAAGTGCTATTGTGTTGACCATATCTCATAGACTTATGTGAACCAACTCGATTTTGACCATCTTTCTTTAAACCAGCGGCATTTCTTAATTTAGGCTTTATTTTCAGAACTATTTTGACCATATACCACAAAGAAGCTGTAGTTTAGGAATATCTTAAAACAATTTAATATGTCTCCCCAATTCTGAGAAATATGCATCTGCAAAAGTGTCAACTTTTTGGGGGACCACTCTGTAGCTCTGGGAGCCCTGGTACTTTTAAGTATTCCATTAGATTTCTTATCTTTTAATCTTCTTCAGATTTGCCCAATTTATTATGGGTGATGAAGACCATGTGACCGGAAATGAGTTATCAGCATATGAAGATGACCTTTCACTTTTGACCCTTGACTCTAGTGATAGTGGCAGCGAAAGGATAAGTAGCGACAGTGATATGGAAACGAATTGATGTTTGAAACACATTTTTTTTTAACTGAATAGGTTGCTTAATAGAATGCATACATTTTTAGACACTAAACAGCCTTCTCTTTTCGCTTATTTTTTCAGTGTAGATTTTTGGTGTGTAAGCTATATTTCCAAAAGTTTATGTACAGAAAACATTGATTGATTCATACTGCAAAGATTTCATGGCATTGAAGACATACATAAATTACTGTGTTCTCATACCAAACAATATTTTTGCTCTTAATTATTATAACAATTCCAGTTTCGGAAACATGTTGTTTGTTGGAACTTGCATTTTTTCAAATCTCGATAAGTCAAACTCTGATAACTGAAAACAACTGCTAAGTCAAACAAAGAATCCATTCCCTTAAGTAGTACATGTAAATTGTATAACAATGATATACAACCCTGCTTAACCCTAAAGGGCCAGGGGGGGGGGGGGCAAAATCTGCACCCCCCTTCGACTTTTTCCGCGATAGCCTTTAAAAAAAAAATTTCCCGACCCGAGCTTTATAACTTTTTAGCCTCGAGTCTTGCGCATCTTTTGACACCAAAAACATAAAAATCGGAAGAGGGGTTGTCGCGCAGCGACATTTTTTCTGGCGCTACATGCCGTGAAACTGAATTTGGCCATATACGTCGTGTACACAGACCAGAATTGCCATTCATACATATGAATAATTAATTAGCCATAATTCCAAAACCTTTTGACCTTTGGTCATGAAATTTCTTGGGTATGTTCATGAAGATTTGCACTATGCATGTACCGAGTTTCAAATTTTGTCGTCACTTGATGGCCGAGATCTTAGGGGGGGGGGGGGGGGCGGAATCCCCCCCCTTCCCCTCGGCTGAGAGATGGTCAAAATAACCCGGCCCCTTCAGGGTTAAATCAAAACTATGCTTTAGTCAAATTTTGAGCCTGTTCCCTTGAGGTTTGACTTCACTGTGGAGATTTCACTGTACTGACACTTGATGGTCCTCTGACAGGATGGATTAGATCTACATCTACAGTGTAGGGTTCAATGAACAGAGTATGAGAATACAGTCCACATTTGTGTACATGTGTGTGCATTTTCCTGTCTTCTCTCTGTGCCATTTAACACAATTACATACAATGGAAATGTTTCATGTCAATCAGTGTACGCTTGGCATTTTCTCATGCACTTTATGCATGTAGATATCATCTGGAATGGTAAATGTTTTGTCTCATGAGTCATCACGTGATCAGAAAAACAAATTGTAGTATACATACTCAAACATTTTTGTGTGTGCAGAAAAATAACATGGGCATTATCAGGTGAGTTATCTATGCAATAATTGTGCAGTATTTATGTGAAAAACCTTTTTTATCACACCGAAATTTGATAATATGCATATTAAATGGGTAGACATGTGCCTTTTATACCATTTGTGATAAGATGTTTTGGGGCATTTGATATTTTATTGTAAATATTGTATATATGTATCAAATTATCTTTACTTTATTATATTGAGTTGAGTATTTTTCTTTTGAAAGTTAAATAAGAAAGCAATAAAACTGTGTTGTCATTTTATAACTATGAACTAGTCAGCCCCACCCATGTTTTGTTCATCACTTGCCATACATATTGGACAGGTTGTGTTTTGATTTTTTTTATACAATGAAACATTTTTAGGACTATATGTAGCAAGGGCAAAAAAGAATCCTTTCCATTGCATCGTCCCACAAGTGAACTGACATGAAAGGGAATTCAACAGATCTAGTCATACTACATGTACATGTACATGTAGTTGAGTTTTGCAGGTGTTGTTTTAGGAGGGAGTGGAGAGGATGTTTGATTTTTAATTTCCATCAAGAAAGTTGGAATGGGACATTGGTCCACACCATAGAGCTATATCTGATTACAAACACATACTTGTTTCTTAGTTGTAGGGAGTGTTCTTTTTATGTTCTAGGCCATAATTAACAGCGCTGCTATACTAAGCATACAATTTGCTGCTGACAGAGCCTTTGTCTTTTTCAAGAAGATTTTGATTGTGTATTTCTACAACATCCAACAATGCAAGCGCCAGAACAGGATGGATAAGACTTGGTATGTGTGAGAAAAAGATTTTGATTGTGTATTTCTACAACATCCAACAGCGCAAGCGCCAGAACAGGATGGATAAGACTTGGTATGTGTGAAAGAAAATTACAGTTTTAGTGGTGGGAGGAAACCCAGAATGATATTCTAATATTCTAAGGAAAAGCCACAGAATCAGGCAGGGACTGCAAACCCAATCCATTATTGGCCCAGGCGGGATTTGAACCCGGGTCACAGCGGTGGAAGGCAAGGAAATTACCGCTATGCAAACCTGATCCCTACATGTAGGTAGTAAGCACAGCAAAGAGCACACTGTGCTCAAGAGAAGAAACAGAGGCTTAAAAACTTGTGAATCAATTCTGGTCTTGGGGACTTGGGCACTCAGACCCTAGAAAATGTCAAGCGCACCACACATGCATGCATTATTGAATATAGGTCCGAGTACCAATTTCCAAAACGGGATTTGATTCATCTTGTTGATAGCGCCCTCTACGTGAATGCAACTTGAATGTTCTTGAAAGGGATTTGAACCGGCTGCATTGGAAGAACGAAATTAAAATCCTGACTTGGCCAAGAATTGGGGGGGGGGGGGGGCATAATGTTTATTCCAAGGACGATTGGGGCTAAGTCATGAATAATTCAGAATTTTGATCGGGCCAGTATGTCTATTCATTGTTGTTTATTAGTCAACCAGTGACATTGGAGCATTTTAAAGAACGATTGTCGTCAAGCTACCACACAGTAGTCTAGCGGGTAGCGAGATGAGCTATGGATACAAAGATCCCTGGTTCGACTTTTAATCCATGTCGTCGCTGCTCATTTTCATCAACTATTTTTCTTCTCTAAATTTATCGTTGAGATAATTTCAATTTTAGGGAAAAAGAGAACAATTGGGACTGCAAAATGGAGGTGAACAATACATGAACATGTTTAGGTGTTGAGGACTTTTAACAAGGATGAGCGAGTTCCATTCCTAAATATGATGCATTTTACTATCCCCACTGCAATTACATTCATGGACTTTCTGTTGAAAGAAAAAGTCATAGTGAACAGACACACAGTGTATAACAGCATCAAAAACATTTAATTCAAAAGCTTGTGTCAAAAAAATACAACCAATAGTCATGTTTACATGTGAGAATCCAATCTTTCTTTTTAAGGCTATTCTGGATAACACTTTTGAGTTGCAAGACAGAAAAGACAGAAAACTTGCAAGACAGAAAACAAACATGTCCGTGGATTACAAAATTTAAGCAAGGCATACACAAAGACAAACTAAGAAACATTTATATTACATGTATTTGCTCAAAGCTGCCAGGAATATTGTACATGCACTAGTCAGAAAATAATTTAAAAGGAAACATGTTTAGGACAATAGAGCCAGGTACCAGCGTACGTGTCCATGTACAAACATATGCTGATTGACTTCATTATCTAATACAATGTCATGCTACCAGCACAATCATGCGAAAGTCCACACATGAAAAGCTGTGCATTATGAATGCATTATTAGAAGGTGCATGCAGGTTACAGGGAACTGCATGGACATCTTCGATGAAAGATGCTCTTATTCCATGTTTATATTTTCTTAGATTTTTTATCATATCGGATAAATGAAAATGACAAATGTGCCTGCCATCAAAGGCCGGGTACAATACAAATATTACAAATACAACTGTCTTACAATTGTAAAATTCCAAGTCTCTTGTTTGTTCAACTAACAAAGGAATAGCGAATAACCCTACAAGATACATACCATCAACAAATTGCTCTATTTGAAGTATATTACAATAAATCTTTAATCGATAAGAATAAACTGTTTGGACAAAAATGTTCACAATAAATATGCCTTAATACTATTTTGAATTCTTCTCCCACTGCAATAATTGTTTGCATTCAGAATACCACAACTTTGCATTACCATTTTAGTTTGCAAGACAAAGACACTTCACTTCTTTACATGCAAAACTGTCATCACTAATTTTACAAAAAAAGTAAAAGCATACAAGTGTTATGGATCAGATGCATTTACCAATTTTTAATATTAATGCTTTCGTGAATTCCTTTTTCATTACACAAGCAATGAAAACCCTTTCAATTGGATATTCAAAACAGTACATTTAGAGGTAGTGTGAACCACTTGACCAAACTTATTTCCATTTTGTACATATATTTACAATCTTTATTTACAAACTATGCACATCATTTACAGTATATTTCTCTAATCTCTCTGTACAAAATAGACTTACATGTAAATCGGACTCGTTTAAGAGTGAAATGTTAAAATGTTTAGTGTGATGACTAGTGTCACTTTTTAACTTTTTTTTCTTAAAGCAACCAAGTTAGTTGAACCAATCAAATCTTATGGGCATAAAAAGGCTCTTATCTGTCATCAGAAACAAACTTAAACTTTACTATAAAGCATATTTTCCAAAACTTTTTTTTTTTTCAATTTATACTAATTCAACATTTGTTATCTTTTTTAGAAAGAAAGATAAAAACTAAAATTAGAATGGCAGAAGCTCAATGAAGGAGAAATGTACAAGCATGCTTTGTAACGGTAAGGTTTTCTGGTGATGAGACAGCTCAATGTGATATTCTCTCCTCGTGTACATTTAAATACATAAAAATCAAGAGTCTATTTCTCTGTGTTTTTATCCTTGTCTGGGTTGGTGCTGTTCCTTGGGACAAGGAACATGCTTCCATCCGGCATTTGTTGCAGGGTGAATTCGTTGGGATCTACTGGATCACCATGTTCATCACACATGTTCTGAAAGACCTCATTGTAGAGTTGATCATACCGTGACTGCATATCAGAGGTCTCTTTGTCAATATGCTCGCGTTCTAGCTCCAGTTGTTCCTTCTCCTCCTTCAAGGTGTCAATGTTGACCTCCACCGACACCAAGGCGCTGATTTTGCGCTTGCGGCAGTTCTGGGCTGCTACCTTGTTCTTGCCGCGCCGGCGGATGTCTCTGATCAGCGTCAGCTGTGCGTCATTCAGCTCATACTTCTTCAGCAAGTCATTGAAGGCATCAACAGGCAGACTGATGATTTTGTCAATGGGCACTGGGACTTTGAGAGTGCGGGCTCGCTTCTCGTCACGCGACAGCTTGGCGAGGTTCTGCCTGTCCTTCTTGCTGGAGTTGTTTTTGCTGTTGTTGCTGCTGCGGTTGCTTCCAGAGGAGCTGGATGATGAGGCATAGGTATGGTTGTGTTTGACATTCTCTGGCTTGGAGGATTGGCTGTTGTAACTGCTGAAAGAACTTCCACTGTCACTGTCACCCCCACAACTTGAACCACCTTGAAAATACAAAGAAAAATTCACCAAATTAATTACTTATGTTCACCTGTCGTAGCTTTGACCCTAAACATTCTGCCTTCAATTGATAATCCTTATGATATTAAGGATGATGGAGAAAGTCGTAGAAATTGTGATTGTAGAATTTTACACTCATTTCACAAGGTCTGCACTTTTACAAAGGAAACATAACCCTCGTAAGTCACTCGTAAGTGTTCATTTGGTTTTTTTTACCATGTTGCAATATGTCAGAAGTGTGATTCCTAGACCACTACGGGCCTGGTACGCAGGTACTGTACGTCATATTTACTTGCTTATTGTGCTTACCTCTCTGTCTGTGGTAACCATAGCTACCAGATGTGCCATTCATGCCATGCCCGTCTAGACTAGCGTTGTAACCAGTAGCACCCTCTAGGCCATCCTCACTGGTGTGGTAGGGTGAACTGCCATCGCTCATGTCTTCAAACCCAGAGCCTGTACAAATTTAACATAAATGTTCATTACCATGTGCTCCAACATATTTATAAACCAATTTCAGAACTTAGTGCAGATGATAGCTAATAAGTCCAAGTTAAAGTGGCAAAAACTCAAAACTCCGGTGTTCTGAAGAGCAAAAATTGCTCTGTCACTCCCAAAAATGAATTTTTCTTCATTTATTTAAATTTTCAGCATTACTTTTGTATCAAACTTCTTGTCCAACTTGAAAATTACAACTCCAATTACAACTTTCAAGCATTTACTTACATGATCCATCAAATGAAGCCGAGGAGTTATTCTCTCCGAATGACTGCATCACATTGTGAATCTGCGCATCAAAGTCCAGCTCCATAGGGTCCACCTCCTCAACATTGGACGTATTCAGAAGCTCCATCAGCAGAGAGGAGTTGTCCTGGTTGTCTGTTGCATTTATAGGCAAGGGGCTCTCCATGGCAGGATGAAGTGGCTGCTCTGGCAGAAGGAAGCTACTAAAGTTGAGGTTTTGCTGGCCATTGATCAATCCCGTTGGTGATGCTGAGCTGAGACTGAGATTTGCAAAGTTGGACAGCGGGGAGAAAACTTCTGGTGGCGGGGCAAACTCATCCAGCCTCTGAGGCTCGATGGGGAGCATGTTTCTGTTGACTGACAGTGTTGCATTCTGTAGATTCACGTTGCCGTTTGTGGTGGCGTTGATGGCGAAGGCATCTTGTGTGTTGAGCGGCTGTGTTATGTTCATGTCCACTGTTGCTTGGTATGGAAGGTGTGGGAGTTCATGAAGTTGGTGCGTGAGTTCAGGAATGGAGGCCAGGTCCTGCCATCGTTGCTCCTGCTCTAGAGGACTCAGAGGCTGCTGCGGTGCTTGATACTGCTCACCATCAGGCTGGGATACTGCTGGCAGGTACTCATCCTCAAGTAGCTGAAGGCAATCTTCCAGGGAGATGTTCCCATCTGGTTGGACTGGGACCTGAGGAAGGGTTGGCTGCGGTGTCTGTGGCTGGACCACCTCAAGCCCAGGAGGGTTGGGAACGTACTCTCCAGTCTCCCCATCAATGTTGTAGCCAAAGTGGTCCCAGGACTGCTGCTGTGACTTGAGCTTGTCTGGATGCTCACCCTTCTCCAGCAGCAGATCTTCCTTGAAGGAATAGGACTCGTCTCTGGAAATACCCATGTCGATGTCCTGTCGCCATAATGCCTCTATCAGGTCCATGTCCTGTGTTCAAGAAATTAAAGAGAAAAAAAAAGGTTATCAGAGTGAGAATTTTGAATGAGAAACATAGATGTATCAACACCATTCTGTGGGAGAAAATTTCCTTGTGAAATGTGAAGTTTTCTGGCTCGTCCACAGAAACTGACATGAGAAACTAATGCAGAAGTACTATAATTTCTCTTTTCACTGCTTCTCGTGCTGCTTCCCTGAAAAAATCCAATACCCATCTGTCCAAACAGTGAAGAAATCTGATTAGATGCATGAAAGAAAAAGGCCACTGGCGACCTACCAGACACAAATAATGTGAAGGACAGCCATTGACAAGCAAGGTAACCTGTGAGAAAAAACACCAACCCTGAACACCTGCACAATAAAAAAAGAACACTTGTTTGCATCTTTGTTAGGAAGACCTAGACAAGTGATGGTTGGCAGCAGCTTTCCATATTATATAATCTGTCCTCCATCTTTTAAGGTCGCCAATGGTTATGCAAATTAAATTTAGGTTATATGGTGCAATGTAGTTATGATAATAGCTTTGGTGTACTATTCAATTTAAAATAGATAACAAAGTGAACTTTTACCTCACTATATATACATGTAGTTGCAAAATTGAAAACCTTTGAAATTTTTATATTTAAATACTATGTTATATTTTTGGATTTGTATTTTAAATTTTTGGATATCGCGTCACAAAAATGGATGTACAATGTCATATTTTTGAAGGAATTCATGGCTCAAATGACATTTGAAACATTGTCAGTTTGTTAGGTGAACCAGCAGTTTTACTGCAAACTACCATAGAAGGAATTGAAACTTAAAATGTAAGGAATGCTATGGGTAAACAGATGGAAAACCACCATCATTTCATGGAATTTAAAAATTTTGGCAAAAGTAATGGATTTTTAAATTTGAATCATCTCAGCCTCGTAAACATCCTTTATTGGTGGAAAACAAAGGACTAAACTCAGAACAATAAAATGACTACTTTGGGTATACCTCTGGACTTGGATCACCGGCGTTTTGGTTACTATGCGTTAAAGCGACAGCGCCATCTAGCATATTCTGCACAGGACCATTCGCTTCAGCTTCCGAAGCTTCACCATTGTTATTGTTTTCATCATTGTTGTTATTGTTATTAGGAGCTGATGCAACATTCACAAAGGGCAATGGTCGGACATTATTGGGTTCCAGTCGATCCAGCAGCCATGTTGAAACATCTGTAATGTCTCGGCTGATTGGGAAGATTTCACGAGACAGTGAGTGAAGTTCTCTGAAAACTGACTGACTTCGGAGATCATGGTCCAAATCCTTGAAGTTCACATAGTTACCATCAAAAGAATTGTAGAAATTGTGGAACTGTGTCTCTGTCAGGGCAGCACTTTGTCCCAACAAGATATCATGGATCTCGGGCAACTGTGTGCCCAGCTGCCTCTGCATATAATCAACCCAGTCCACCCGAAGGAGGCTCAAAATGACGGCTAAGGTGAGGAATGGATCCCGCCACGGTTTTTTACGATGCATGGCGAGATTTGTAGTTGTCTCCCCAAAATAATACCAAACCTTATTCAGACAGCGAATTCGACACTTGTCGCAGGAATAAAAGTCAGCCAAATAATCGAACACCGAGTTATTCCCGGCTTTGTTTTCTTTGTTTAGTCAATCAGGCAACCCTACTGCACGCAGTCAGTGAGTGCAGTTCCGACCCTGCACCCGGTTGATAAGCTCTTTGCGGTCACGCGATCAAAATACGCCGGTCTGAAAATGCTGCCCGGCCGGCGGCGTTACGTTACTCGACGAAAACCCAACGGTTTTTATGCTGAAAATCAACTCCTGTAGAATTCAAATCGTCCCAGAATTTTAGAAAATCCTCAGGATCTTTTTACTGTTGGTTATACGGAGAGCATTAATGTATGTCCTTTCCTGTATCTTGTTCCGTTGTTCCCGTACACGTACATAGCTACACGCAGGTCAGACAAAGCCAAAAAACAGGAGTGTCGTGCAAGGTCGTAGAGGCTTTATTTAGATATGACGTAATGGTTTCACGCAGGCGCACGCGCGCAGCCTGGTAATAGCCACGTGATCCCGGAAGGAAACTTCTCGAAGCAGACGGCAACGTACGCTGATGACGCAAATGCAAATGAGCCTCGACTCTGGGGTAACAGTCTGTGGCAGCATTAAATTAGCATAATAATAGAGAAAAGTAGAGCTAGTATTCGTGGTATTTTTGGTTGAAAGAACCGCGTTCCGCTTTTTGTTGAGTCTTGGGCATAAAGGACGCTTAAAGTTAAACGAAACTATTCATTTTTTGGCACACTCAATTGTTAACGGTCACAACGAGCTAAATATAAAACGGGGAACTACTCCCAATAAAGTTTTACCGAACGTCGGCTTTTATTGTCGTCATCCCGACACACATTTTTCTACCCAACGATTCCAAAAAAGGAAAAGTAACATTTGTTTTCTTGTCAAAGTCATCAGCAGTTGATTCAGACTGATATATATTTGCCCCAAACAAAGAGGGAAGATCCGGAAAGTCTGGCGGACTTTTGACTGGCTTTTTAAAGTTTTATATAAATACAAAGTGGTCACAGTAACTAAAGTAAGATTTATTTGAAAAGGGCAGCATGTACACTTTCATTAACGACCTTTTTTCAAATAAGAACATAAAAAACAACAATCGTGTTGTTTATCTTTAGATAACCATATTTTCAAAGCAGTTCTTTTGAAAGGTTTTGCTATCTTTTCAAAAGGAATATGTACATATTTCTCAGGAGTAAATTAGTGTATTCAACAACACTAATTGCCTTCAGAATTCACATTGGAACAACACAAGGAAACTTAAACAAAACAGTCTCTAAATATATCACCCCGGAAACAAAAGGGACAATACCTCGGCTTGCCCAGTTTTTCTGACGTTTATACTCTTCAAGGCTGTTTTCCTTTCATCTTTTGTGATTAATTGTAAAACCACTTGTCATTCAGACAGTTGGACTCTCAATGACATTTTTGTTGTGCTATTGGTTTTATTTCATTTTTTTATGTGTGAAATATATTTGTTTTCATCAGATGAAAACAAACAAGCCAGTTTGGTTGCCTCATAATCAAAACGAATTAGGGTGTCTAAAAGATACCCAACTAAATTTTGTTGGGGATGTTTTTAAATATAGTTTCATTATCGGTATGAAATGATCCAAAAATAGGATTAGCAATAATAGTCCTGTGACAAGAAACTGAGTCAGAATACTTCCTGTGTTCTTCCTTCCCATTTGTTATCTTTGTTGCATCCATCAAGCTGTGCGGAGTCTGGACACAACAAAGAGTGTTCAGTTTTATATACACAATTGCTTATTATTGTTTAAAAATTATAATTCACAACAGATTTCAGAATTTGTTTGGAAGTTTTCAGTGACTGGCTACTTCACAAAGTGTATAGACAAAATGCATCCAGCAGCCATCTTAGAGGTGTGTTTTGTTATGTAATTCATTAACAATAAATATACAAGAGGTCTATCATGCATATCCCTGAGGAACAAAGCACACAACTCAAAAATGGCTGCAGTGCCACGATCCATTGGCAAAGCTTTGCAACTTAAATTCAAAACACTAAATTCTTAGTTTTAGTCTTTTACTACCCTTAATATTCAGTAAGCAACAAAGCACATAAGACTGCCTATCTAAACAGAAATCTGCAAGAGGTGCACTTTCAAGAATCTGCATCATCATCGATTTCTTACCACTGGCAAGGAGCCATGTTCCTTGACCTTTAACCTTGTGTGCTCATGTTCATTCAGTAAAGTGCTTATGATCAAGTTCCTGTTAGTTTACTACTCCATGTATAAACATTTTAAACAGTTCTGTTAATCTCATTTGGGTATTTTCTGAATGCTTAGGATTTGCTATAGTATTAACCTAGTTGTCGCAGAACAACTTTGTACTCATAATTTCAGGACACTTCTTGCAATATTGATATTGAGCAAATTAATATATGTAAATAACCAAATTAATCGTGTTGATGGCATTTCTTCCATGCTCATGCAAATGTTGAGGTCTCTATCTGACGAAATTTCAGCTTTCTATTTGACGAAGCATCAAAGAACTAGGGCAAAATTGTTGAATATTAATACAGAAAAATTCGTTCCTTGAGCCATGTAAAATGTGGTTCGATTTTATAGTAAAAGTATGCAGAAGAAAAAGATGACTATATAGCTACATTACAAATGTGAGGTGTGGGTGTAACTATTATTTTAACCCAACATTGTTGAATATGTTGCGCCATTGGTGAATAATGTTTGTCCCACATAAACTCTCATTATTGAAAATGGTAGAATATACCATGGAGGCAGGAGCTGAGCCTCCGGAGGAAAGTGATACCTCCAACAGGTATGAATAAAATCATTAATTTACACAGACAAAAACTATTTATGAGTCATTTGTGTAGAAAATTGATTGGTTGAATATACTTTGGTGCAGATGACCGTGGATCCAGATAAGAAAGCTTTAGTTTGAGAAGTGATGTCTTACAGTATTCTTCCTTAACTTTTACAGAATAAAACAATATGCAAGAGAAACAGTTCTTGAGAAACATTCGAGTGGACTAAAAAATGGAAACATGTACAAGTATGGTAATCAAATCTTGCAATTCTTTTTATACATCCCATTGTCAGGTGATTGTGGACCATGCTAGTTTTACAGGTAGATCTTTTGAACAAAAATGTCAACTATATCATGTAAGAAGATCACTCTATAATATATTGTAATCAAATGGCTCAGTATGAACATGGAGGAAGGAATAGACTGCTGACCATTACTCCATGAGTTGACCTATGATATAGCGTATAGAGAGCAAATGAGTTCCTAAGCTTGCTCGATCTATGACCCAAGCATCATATAAACATTCACAATGATGTGTACATGTATGTGTACAGGTATATGCGATATTACGACTACTGATTTGACCAGTGCACAGGCTTGGTACTGGTATGGTACTTGTAGATCACAGGGTAAAAAAAAACCCAGTTTATTCCTGCACGAGCTGTAGCCTACGTACACACAGCATGGTGTATAAATGAATACACACTATGATACGAACAGTGTTAACGTGATCATCACATGACTATCGCCGAAGTCACGTTAAATTACACGGGTCTGCATGTGCAACATCTCCTCTCCTACCTACCATGCCTACCTTCTGTGTTGGTTGCATTTTGTCGGATCCGTCAATAACATCCATTTTAATGTTGAGGCTAGGTTGTACCTGTAAAACCTCCATGGTACAGCGATTTGTTTCCAGTTGGGAAAGAATATAGAGAGCCAAGCCTAAGTATACGAAATGTCCGCCGCAGTGTGTGATGTGAGATTACAGTGTTGTGCGTGTGGTTGCAATAGTCAGACTGATTACATTATTATACGGTGAGTGGAGTCTAGCCCGCGAACGAACCGGGTCACTGAATAATCATAACAATATAGCGGGTTCACCGGTGTCGTACACGCCTACAAAAATCCTAAATTTGGTAGTACAGCCCGGTACGTACGTCAAGGACGTGTCACACAATTCAGTCTTCTGTTGTACTTTGCCCATCAAAGCGATAGCTGAACAATTGATGTGCGTATACGGGTAGATACTGAAAGGAAATCAAGTAGAAAAGATTGGTGATGCATTATTCATTATCTTCAATGCATGACATCATTTCTTTGAGCGCCGATTGGTTGACGATACTATACCCGGAAAAGGGCAAGACCACAGTCCAAGACTAGTTTGCCAATACTGTGGCAGCACAGCGCAGCTCATGGCACTAGTGTTTACTTATCGGGTTAGATCTGATCGTGTTTACCTACCCGAGATAAATCGCACGCACATGATTCAAACTCCGGCACCCATACATGTAATATAAAAGGTTTTTGAACTCCAGCTAATAAGGCTCCAGACTTCAATCATCCCATATATTAGTGATATACTCTATACTAGACCTTTTGAGAACTCTTCTTTCAAAAAAGTAAAATCACTACAGCCAAAAGAAATTCATATTGATGAAATCATGGTGGAAGTATTAATGTACTGCTGAAACCTCACAGTGTAAATGTTTCCATTTTCACAGCTTTTCTCTAATCTAATGAAATGGAAATACAAGTACTTGTATTGTTGATGTGCCCTTAACGTGGCGTGGCCCCACTTTGATTTTTTGGCCTCTAGCAAAAGTTGTACCTGAAATTTCACAGTAAGTGAAATTTCATCAGGTTCTAAACATTCTCGTTCGTAAATCTTGAGTTTACCTATACCCATATTATAAAGTTGGCAGAGAAATACATTTTGGCGTGATTTTCTGATATTATTTCGAAATGCACAGTGAACACTTTCAAAATGCGCCCAAAAATAAGAAAATAAATTTCTGACAAACATTGTTGGGCATGTGAGGAAAGATAATAATGGTTTATAAAAATCTTCAACCTTAAAGAAATTTTGAAACGTTCCGTGTGATGTTTCGAGATTAGTTCAAGCGCGCGCCACGTCAGGGAACACTCAGCCGATTTTGTTCCCAATTTCCGAACGCCATCGTTTCTGAATTTTGGACTAAATTTCATGTCCCTAAAATTGTTCAGAAGGGTTCAACAGCAAGAATTATTAAGGTAAAAGTACCAGTATTTAACTGAATGATGAATTTGAAGTTTGTCAACAAAGAGGTTTGGCAACACATGAGGACAGGAAACCGTATCATAAGTCCGACGCCTCATATTTAGTCCGACGTCGTTACGAGGCGTCGGAGCTATGAGGCGTCGGACTATGAGGTGTCGGACCTATGAGGCGTCAGACTTTGGCCTTTATTTGGTTGGGGGATGCGATTTTGTCGGACGTATGAGGCGTCGGACCTATGAGGCATCGGATTTATGAGCGGACCCCGGTGAAAGTCGGGGAAACGTCGAAGTGTGCCACGTTAGGGAACACAACTATATAACAAGTCAAATGGCACCAGTGTTTGGAAAGGGGTACCAAACACTATCAGGCTTGCATTTACGCAATATCAAGT